CATAAATGAATATGTGCGCACCTAGTTCGATTCAGTTGATATTTATCAATTTAGCAACTTTTATACTAACTTTTTTTCATATCAATTAGATTTTATAGTGTTAATATCATACGGTATTATTCTCATCATCACTCACCTGTTCTAGAAGTTTTTTTAATCAAGTTAGGGAATTGTTACGCCTGCACATAAACATGTCATTTTGATTTGCTTGAATGCTATTACGAGTTTACCTAGTTGGGAAACGAGAGCTAGGATCGAGGATCCGGCGGCACGACATGCTACTCAAATCCGATTATCCCAACCCCCATATTGAGTAAAAATAAGAAGACTTGATATCATTGTATTCTACGAGCACTCAGAAAGTACGAGGTCCGAGTTCAGAAGAGAATCAGGATCCCAGACTAGGGATCCGGGACCGGGTCTTGGTCCTGGTCACAAAGCGTTACACATAATGCGTATTTATACATTTTGGTCGAATGAGAAACAGCATCGAAGTCTGTGATATTGACAGTTAAGATGACCAATAGGAAGCGACATTCGAATTGACATTGATAGTCAGGACAACCAATAAGAAATAACATTGGAGCACGTGACATTGTTATCTAGGACGACCATAAAATTGACCAGTAGGAATTAACTAATATGAATTGACCAATAATTCTCTTAGGATATTGGATGAATATCCTAACAGGAATAATTAAAATAACTTCTTCCAAATAGTTCTACCATATTCGGATCAGTCAATCAGTTACAACGTAGAACTTCGTACGTTCATATATAATTACAGGTGACCATACCTCATTAGCAAAGAGGTGTACTTATCAATTCAAATCCCATAGTAGTAGAAGTATTAACAGACTAGGGTTAGAAGAAATTATTCAAATAGTATAATTCAATAAAATAAACTTATCAAGAGAAAACTAAAGGTGATAAGAAATGAAGAAGATTAAAGTACTAGAGAGAGTACAAAGAATGGATGCACCTGTGACATTGTGAATGATTTTCAGCCATGTCATTCAACACCTCTAACCATCGGTTACTATCATCTTGCGAATCACAACCAGGTAGTCTACATCTACTAACAGGATTCAATCCAGATGTCAGTGATACTTCATGGAATTTTGCCATGTTTTGATTGGGCCGCCACTAACTTTCTTCCAACCTACCCCTATAGAACGAAACATAGCTTTACTGGGTAGTTGGTGGTTAGGTATACGTACCACATGTCCCAAACACGTCAACTGATGAATTTTCAGTAATTAATCTACTGATTAGTCATCCTTACCTAGCACCCGTTTCCTAACAAGACCATTATTAACTCGGTTATCTCAATATAAAATAACGATACTTCAGAGACTCATATGATCAAAAACCGGTAACCTACGAATATATTCTACTCTAACTGTCCATGTTTTACAGCCATAAAGTAGGACGGAGCAAACTGCTGCGCAATACACTCGTCCTTTTGTCAGCAAACAGATATCTCGCCTGCGCCATAAGTGACGCAGGTTGGCAAAAGGTATTTGAGCCTTCTGTATCCGTGTTGAAATTTCGTCAGACGCCAAGCAATTAGCATTGAGGAGACTCTAAAGATAAATGAAGCGGTCAACACGCTCAACTACTTCACTCCCTATCACAGGTTCAGGAGCCGTTGTAAGCCAATGCTGAAGCAATTTTTCGCATTTCGACAGAGAGAATCGCATCCTGAACATGTATCCATTGTTGGTGAAGTTAGTCAGAATGCTGCATTCTGTCAGCGTGTCATCGGTATATTCTAAGTCAGTAAGCAAATCTTGTGGTAGAGAAGGTCAACTGCTATGAAAGTCAGACGATGAACGTGTCGTATTCAGAAGCACGTCACTGACAAACTTAAAGAAGAGTTGATAAAGTGGACAGCCCTTATTATTACTATTATTATTACTGTCATTATTATTATTATTATTACTAATATTATTAATATTATTGCATATCAGGATGTACACTCTGATATAATCCGTCAACAGTGTAATAATTTGGCTACAAATAGTAAAGCTATTCTCATTGAAGGATTTCCATGCCATGAAGGTCAATTAAATACATTGAATAAATGTGTAAGTCAAATTCCCTACTTTTTGTGGTTTTCAATTCTTTTGAAGTTTCACTTATCAATTAAAATCATGAATTGAATACTTTGAAATAAATGATCTTTTTTTAAAAAAATAAATTTTAACAAAGAAATCATAAAACGAAGTTTTTTTACACTACACAACGTAGAACTTCGTACATGCGTATGCCATTTCAAGCTGCCATACCGCAATAGCAAAGAGACACCATCGTCAGCTCAAATCCAATAGTAGTGGAGATAGTAGAACAATTACTGGTAATGGAGAATATTAGGGTTCGAAGGTATCATTCAAGAATTATAGTTAAATGAGATAAATGTAGAAAGAGAAAGATAAAGGTGATGAGGAATTCCGATGATTAGAATTTCATAGAACAAGACGAGTGGGTGAACCTGTACTGTTGCAAACGATTTTGAGCCATGTCATTCTAGGTCTCTAACCATCGGTGACTTTCGTCTCGCGGACACCAACCAGGTAGCCTACACCTATCAACATGACTCAGTCCAGTTGTCATTGGCTGCATGGATTCTTGCCATGTTTCGGTTTGGCCGCCCCTAACTTTCTTCCAACCTACTCCTACACCAAAAAACATAGCTCGTCGAGATAGTCAGTGTTTGGGCATACGTAACACATGTTCCTACAACCTTAACTGATGAAATTTCACTGCTTCATCTATTGGTCTGCCATCCCTAACTAGTACTCGTTTCCTAACGACAGCATTGCTTACTCGGCTATCTCAGGATATATGAGCAATGCTTCGAAGACATCTATAATCGAATACTAATAACCTACGAATATCCTCAACTCTTACCGGCCATGTTTCTCAGGCATAAAGTAGGACAGAACGAACTGCTACGCAACTCAACAGTTTGCACAACCCTGAAATGAAATATGTCGTAGACTTACTGGTGACTAGCTTTGTGAGGAAGTTTTTTTCGACTTCTATTGAGAAGCCTTGACCAATGGAGTTCAGCTGTGTCAGGTATGAGGCAGTTACCCACTGAACATCGTGCAATATCTTGGATTGATTAAAATTAGGCACGAACATCGTTGGATGCCAGTTGGCTCAATAGTCTAGAGGCTAAACGCTTGCGCGGACCACAAGCACTCAAAGATATATTCGTCAAGCGAAAGAATTGGCGAATGAACAGATGAACAGACGTGGAGAAGTCTAGTGAGCCAAGTTCGAGAGATATAGCATGGACTAAGAATGTATAGTCAGACAAAAATAAGATAGACATGTAGTAAGCATGTAGCAGACATGCACACACATGAATGAAAGAGACGAACGACTGACAAAGTCAAAAGACAAATGAGACAAGTCATGTGAGCTAGACATTGAATGACTCACTACAAAGCCCCCGCTTCTAGAAAATTGTAGATTAATTTGAAAAAAATGTCAGTTTTCGAAAATAACACTGAGTAAGTCAGCGTTGATTAGCGAAAAAAAATCGATGTTAGATAGAGTACATGAAGAGCGAGTGTATGACACGTAAGTGTAACACTAATGCAGTAAAATATTTAATATCGTATAGGCATGAACAGTTAAGACGGAATTAGATAAACATATAAACATTACGGCAAGGCTCATTGATAAATCAAGTGACTGCAGAAAGCTGAAGAAATTGTGGTCGAGATTATCGTGGAAAAATTTGGAGAACAATACAACGTATGAAATCCGATGCATGAACATTAGATGTATATTGAGAACATAATTTACTACCATTGGGTGTATGACTCCAAACTTATAGCGTTGCAAACCGTTGTCAGCGTTGGGGTAGTGGAAAACATGCGAATACCAGCGTGAAGGAGGTCCAATCGACTGCTACTATGTGTGCATTTGCGTGCGGTCATACCACCAATTTACTTAGCAGGCTGCAAGATTTTCGAGGTACGAGCAGCTGATGAGTACATTCATCATGGCTGAGCTCTACTAGGCACATCTTATCACTAGAACTCCGAGAATTTCCTCACAAAGATAGCCTCTAGTGAGCACATTGTCCATACTTACTTACTTACTTACTTTCGCCTGTTACCCCAAATGGAGCATAGGCCGCCCACCAGTTTTCTCCAACCAACTCTGTCCTGGGCTTCTTCCTCCAGTTCTGTCCAATGTTTGTTCATTCCTCTCATATCTTTCTCTATTTCACGGCGTAATGTATTCTTTGGCCTTCCTCTTTTCCTTTCACCTTGAGGGTTCCATGTGAGGGCTTGTCTCGTGACGCAGTTAGGTGCTTTTCGTAGAGTGTGTCCTATCCACTTCCACCGCTTCTTCCTGATTTCCTCTTCCACTGGAATCTGACTTGTTCTCTCCCACAGTTCGTTGTTGCTGATGGTGTCTGGCCAACGAATACGAAGTATTTTGCGTAGACAGCTGTTAATAAACACTTGTATCCTCTGGATGATGGCTTTGGTAGTTCTCCAAGTTTCCGCTCCATACATTAGAACTGTCTTGACATTTGTATTGAAAATCCTTATTTTGGTGTTGATTGATATCTGTTTGGATTTGCAGATATTTTTCAGTTGTAGAAATGCAGCCCTTGCTTTGCCAATCCGTGCCCTCACATCTGCATCCGATCCACCTTGATTGTCGATGATGCTGCCCAGATATGTAAAGGTGTTAACGTCCTCCAAGGCATCTCCATCAAGAGTGATTTGATTGGTGCATGTTGTGTTGCATCGGAGAATTTTGCTTTTTCCTTTATGTATGTTCAGACCTACTGCTGCAGAGGCTGCTGCTACACTTGTCGTCTTCTCTTGCATTTGTTGTTGAGTGTGCGATAGAAGAGCCAGATCATCTGCGAAGTCCAGATCGTCCAGCTGCGTCCTAACTGTCCAGTTGATACCGTGCTTCCCTCCAGCTGTTGACGTTTTCATAATCCAGTCGATCACCAGGAGAAAGAGAAAGGGTGAAAGTAAGCAACCTTGCCTCACACCGGTCTTTACCTCGAAAGAGTCGGTTAGCTGTCCTCCGTGCACGATTTTGCAGTTGAATCCATCATAAGAGTTCCGTATGATGTTAACTATTTTCTCAGGCACCCCGTAGTGTCGAAGAAGAGTCCACAGTGTTTTCCTGTCCACGCTATCGAATGCTTTCTCGTAGTCGATGAAGTTGATGTAGAGTGGTGAGTTCCATTCAATTGATTGTTCCACAATGATCCGTAATGTAGCAATTTGGTCAGTACACGATCGATCCTTACGAAATCCGGCCTGTTGATCTCGAAGTTGGGCGTCTACGAAGTCCTTCATTCTGTTTAACAATACCCTGTTGAAGACTTTGCCTGGTATTGAAAGAAGAGTGATGCCTCTGTGGTTCTCACACTTGCTGAGGTCGCCTTTCTTTGGTATTTTGATCAGGTATCCTTCCTTCCAGTCTGATGGTACTTGTTCCTCATCCCAAATCTTCTTGAAGAGGATGTGAAATATTTTCGCGGTTGCTTCTACATCTGCTTTCATTGCCTCTGCTGGAATGTTGTCTGGTCCTGCTGCTTTGCCGTTCTTGATTTGTCTGATGGCCATACTGATCTCCTCAATCGTAGGTGCGCCAATATTGATTGGGAGGTCCGTGGATGCTGCTTCGATGTTGGGTGTCTTCAGAGGAGCTGGTCGATTTAGGAGTTCCTTAAAGTGCTCTACCCACCTATTTCGCTGTTGTTCAATGTTGCTGATTACTTTGCCTTCCTTGTTTTTCACTGGTCGTTCTGGTTTACGATAGTTCCCGGCGAGCTTCTTTGTAGTTTCATACAATTGTCTCAAGTTTCCGTCTCTTGCAGCCTTTTCCGCCGTCGTTGCTAGATCTCTCACCGTTTTCGTTTCTTTCTCCCAGTCCATGTCGTCCCATGATGTCTTCATATCCAGTGTTGTCCATTCCAACCTTGGCATTCAGGTCTCCCATAAGAATCGTCAAATCCTTTGGTGAACATTTATCGACGATTGACTGCAGCCTTTCGTAGAACTGATCTTTGTCGTCGTCATTGTAGTCGTTGGTAGGTGCATAACATTGGATGACGTTCATTGTAATGTCCTGTTTCTTTGTTTTGAAGGATGCTTTAATGATCCTGGGTCCATGAGATTCCCATCCTATTAGTGCCTTTTGTGCATGTTTGGACAGCATCAATGCAACTCCTTGTGTATGTGAAGCATTTTCCTCTTCATGACCAGAGTATAACAGCAGTTCCCCTGAAGCTAGTCTCAGTTGTCCTACTTGTGTCCAATGTGTTTCACTGATTCCAAGCACCTCGAGGTTGTATCTTCTCATTTCTGCCGCAACTTGAAATAGTCTTCCAGTCTCCCACAATGTACGAACGTTCCATGTACCTAAAAAAATGGTTGCTCTGGTTGTCAGAAGAGGCATCAGCCCCGTGACTTCCGAGGGAACTCGGCTTTCATCACGCGACGTCATAATTCTTCCTCCAACTCCCAGGGCAGAGTTAAAATGGTTTGAATTATTTTTTCTGGTTAGCGTTTTTTGGCAAGTTAGTTTTTGACGGAATGGGGTCGCCAACCCCATGTCCAACCCTCCTCCTTTACCCGGGCTTGGGACCGGCAGTAGCCCCGAAGGTTCTACTGGCGGAGTTACATTGTCCATATATATATATATATATATTTTATTGTTCTCAATAATAATTATTACACTTATCATATGTATTTTTATTTCCTTTTTTATTAATTTAAAGTTTGGTGGTGTAGATTTAGTGATTTTATTAGATTGTGAAGAAACCACACTGATTGATCGATTACATCAACGTCGTGAACGTTTAAAGCGTGTTGAAGATGAATCCGCTGTTGTATTACAACGTATTTCATTTTTTAAACATTGTACATTACCTGTAATCAGATATTATGATGAACGTGGTAAACTAGTAACAGTAAGTTTAAAGTATAATTAATTAATTAATTTGCATCACGGGGTTGTGAAGATTGTTAAGTTACACATTATTGAAACCATGAATTGGTCAATGTTAGACCACCATTAGAAACCTGGAAGCACTGGACGACCGTTTGGTCCTAGTATGGGACTCCCCAGCAGTGCGCATCCACGACTCCTGCACCTCGCAGGATTCGAACCCAGGACCCTCGGTGTTGTGCGCGAACGCCCTAACCGTTAGACCACTGAGCCGGTATCCAACGGTGTTAATGCCTAACTTGATCAAATTCACGGAGTTGCACAACCTCATGCACAGTCTTCGTTAGTTACCATCTACACCCGAACAGGTTGAACTTCACTGGTCACGTCTTCCCACTAAAACTCGGAGAAGATTACTCACAAAGCTAGTCACTAGTGAGTACAGGTAATTTGCATTACGGGGTTCTTGTGAAGATTGTTAAGTTACACATTTTTGAAACCATGAATCGATCAATGTTAGACCACCATTAGAAATTAATTATTTCCTTGTTTCGGGAAAAAAGAAAGAATAACATTTAAGAAATTGATTTTGATAATGTAACAATGATCTCCATAATACTAGTGAGTAACTTTGTTAGAAGAAAATTCTCACAGTTCTAGTGAGAAGACGTGACCAGTGAAGTGTAGCCTTGTTGGATGTAGTTAGTAACTATCGAAGACAGAGAGTCAGGTTGTTCAAAATCTTTAGATTGATCGAAAGTTAGACATTAACTCTGTTGGACCTGGCTCTTCTATCGCACATTCAACAACGAATGCAAGAGAAGACGACCAGTATAGCAGCAGCCTCTGCAGCAGTAGGTCTGAACATACATAAAGGAAAAAGCAAAATTCTCCGATGCAACACAACATGCACCAACCAAATCACTCTTGATGGAGATGCCTTGGAGGACGTTAACACCTTTACATATCGGGGCAGCATCATCGACGAGAAAGGTGGATCGGATGCAGATGTGAGGGTACCGATTGGCAAAGCAAGGGCTGCATTTCTACAGTTGAAAAATATCTGCAAATCCAAACAACTTTCAACCAAAACCAAAATCAGGATTTTCAATACAAATGTGAAGACAGTTCTACTGTATGGAGTGGAAACTTGGAGAACTACCAAAGCCATCATCCAGAGGATACAAGTGTTTATGAACAGTTGTCTACGCAAAATACTTCGTATTCGTTGGCCAGACACCATCAGCAACAACGTACTGTAGGAGAGAACAAACCAGATTGGAGTGGAGGAGGAAATCAGGAAGAAGTGGTGGAAGTGGATAGGACACACACTACGAAAAGCACCTAACTGCGTCACAAGACAAGCCCTCATATGGAACCCTCAAGGCCAAAGGAAAAGAGGAATGCCAAGGAACACATTACGCCGACAAATAGAGAAAGATATGAGAAGAATGAACAAACATTGGACAGAAGTGGAGAGAGAAGCCCAGGCGTAAGTAAGTAAGTACTGTTGGATGCCAGCTCAATGGTCTAGAGGTTAAGCGTTCGTGCATCCTGGGTTCGAATCCAGTGAGTAGAAGGAGTCGTGGATACGCACTATAATCGATGAGTCCTATATCAGGACGAAATAGCTGTCTTTCAGTGATTTCAGGTTTCTAATGATGATTTTAATGTAAAACTCTATATGTTGTTCATTTAAGTTTTTGTTTATAAAAAATGCTAAGCAAAAATTGTTTTAAGGTGTCATTTAAGCTTTGATTACTTTCTTATGTTTTTTATTCGGAGTTAACATTTTAAAATGTGGTCTAGCGAACTGGTTATTTTCGATCACAGTCAACTTTCGATTTATCTTATATAACCTGGTATAAGTTATCATTATCAACTTCTCTGATGAATAACATTCAAATCATAAGTCGATCGATGTTAGGTCATTATTAAATACTGTACGCAGTAGATGGCTGTTTCGTGATAGTGCGGCACTCATCAGTAGTACTCATCAATAACACGGCACACAGGAATCAAAACCAGGACATTCAATTTCTGTGTCCCATTTCAATTAATCTAGGATATTGCTCAGCCTCATAAATTGTCTTTGGTGAGTAGCTGCCTACAATCAACAGGGTCAAAACTCCACTAGTCACAGTTTTTCACTAGAACTCCGAGCATTTCCTCATGATACTAGTTACTAGTGAGCACATTTACACCGTTGGATGCCACCTCAATAGACTAGAGGTTAAGCGTCTGTGAGCAAGCATAAAGGTTCTGGTTTCAATTCCAACCAACAGGGATCGTGGTTGCGCATCACTAGTGAGTTCCACATTAGGACGAAACGGCCACCGAATGATTCCAGATTTCTAATGATAGTCTAAAACTGATTCATTCATGATTTCGAAAAGTAACTCAACATTCTCCACAACCTTATCAGAAAAATCAATAACTGTTAATCATTCAATCACTGCTGTGTAGTGATTGAACTATTGTCATTGTCATTCAAAATTTATCATATGATATTTCTATTGGGTTGATAAAAACAAACTAATATTCATCTACTTATCATTAGAATATTAATCTAATCACATGGTTCATCATGAAACATATTGAATCAAACAATTTTTTGGTAATGTCAATCAGTCAGTCAGTAAGTTATAACGTAGAACTTCCAAACTACGTACATAAGTTGAGGATGCCATACCACATTAGCAGAGAGACGTATTTGTCAGTTAAAATGCCATTGCAAACGATTTCGATCCATGTCTTTCAAGTTCTCTGACCATCAGTTACTATTGTCTCATGGATCCTAACTAGGTGGTAGTCTTCACCTATTAGCATGACTCAGTCCATTGGTCAGGGACTTCATGGATTTGTGCCATGTTTTGGTCTAGTCGCCCCTGGCTTTCTTCCAGCCTACCCGTACATCACAAAACATCACATCCAAATAGTAGAACGTAGAGAAATGCTGCGTTGTAGAGTAGTCCTATGGTTAGCAAACGGATATCTTTCCTACTCTACAAATGACGCAAGTTGGCATTATTTCTGAGAATATCTAGAGTTATTCTGTCAAATACTGCTGCTCTTCCTCACCTCAAATTCGATATTGCCTCTTAAATCTCACTTACAGTTGTGGTACGTACTTCTTTTTCGTATCTAGGTTGCTTGAATACCGTAGGGAACTAGAAAGTAGCTGATGGGTGTTCTCATTCAGTCAGTGTTTCGCCTGAACGTAAACACCTCATCTTGATATACTTGAACTATCACGAGTTACCTAGTCGGGAAACGAGAGCGAGGATCGAGGATCCGGTGACACGACATGCTAACCAAATCCCATTATTCCAACCCCCATATTTAGTTAAAATAAGAAGACTTGATAGAAGTAGAACTTGTGTTCTACAAGCATCCAGAAAGTACCAGATCCGAATCCAGATGAGAATCAGGATCCCGGACTACGGATCCGGGACCGGGTCCTGGTTCTGGTCATAAAACGTTACAGATAATGCGTATTTATGCATTATACGACCAATAGGAAGCAACACTTGAAGTGACATTGATAGTCAGGACAACCAATAAGAAACAACATCGGAGCACGTGATATTGATATCTAGGACGACCATAAAATTGACCAGTAGGAATTAACCAACATAGATTGACCAATAATTCTCTGAGTATATTGGATGAATATCCTAACAGTCAGTCAGTCAACTATTTGGTACTTGCTAAAAATAGACGCTTATCTGAGCATAACTGCAGCAGACGGTCGCCATTATCTGTTATTTTTAACCACAACACTATGAGATCCTCTCAGGTGTCTGTCCTTTTCACTTAGTCTACCTACTTGAACAGTGAAGTCGTCAACCACTATTACAATATCAGAGTGCCTAACTTTTTGGAGGAGGTCTGAAAGCATTCTATAGAACTTATCTTTTACCTCGTTCGAGCTGCAGTCACTGAGAGTGTAGACAGATATGACGAAGAGGCAACGGCGAGTTTCCCTATCTTTACGAGTCGTTACTATCCCGCTTAGTCGGACAGCGGACTATCTACTGGGATCCAGTTTAAGAGAGCTAGTAATTCAATAAACTAAGAATTATTATTATTGGTTCTGTTTGTTTAATAGAAGCAATCTCATTAACATTTAACTTCATGATAACTGATTTCTAGATGTGAGTTATGATATTTATCTAATAGCTCATGTTATTATACAAGTTGTATTATTGATTACCTTTTTTTCTGATTTCTCATTGATAGATTTCTGGTGATCGAGAACACAGTGATGTTTTCAATAATTTGATTTCAATCATTGAATTCTTCTTACGTGTAGTATGTTTTATTTACATTGGAATTTAATTAATGTAAAAAGATTTGAGTTAGACATTAACATTGTTGGATACAGGCCATTTTGGGGGTCCAAAGGTTAGGTGTTCGCTAGCAAGATCGATGGTTGTAGGTTTGAATCCTGTGAATATTAGAAGACGTGGATGTGCACTGTTACTGATGAGGAGTCCCGTACCAGGACGAAACGTCTGTTCAGTGATTCTAGGTTTCTAATGGTTCGGTTTAACGTAGATTCATGTTGTTATAAAGTTTCATTATTTAGATATTTTATAAATATTAAGAAATACTCAACAACAACGTAAAGAACCCATATGTGAATTCTTACTCCAATAGTCTTTATATAGACTACTGGCAGTAGGTTTTTATATTCTTGAGCAAGTGTCTGAAAACTCTATCTCTTTCTCCAAAACCTAATTGATGTTACCTTACAAATTCGGATTACTTCAAGGGTCATTAGATTTAGTGTAACGTTAGAGCAATGACCATAAACTGTTATTCAGAATTTGGACAATGTCGATTATAGTACGATTGTGAGGATATTGTATGGTCAATATTAGTGATATCTAGAAAATTCGTACGTCCAAGTGGTATATCGAACTATGAAATAACGTAGTTTACGCTTGACTGGCGTGATGATGTAAAAACATTAATGTGAAAGACAAAGAAAAAAATTTCATTATGGTGGTGTTTCATTCTCTGAGCTAGATGTTTTGGTTGTACAGCATTCATTGTTCTTCTGAACAACATTATCAGCACAAACTTCAGATATCTCATGTCTATCTTTTAAAAGAACGGTAATCTATGCAACTTAATCAAAAAATATAAACTGAAATGGTCAACAGAAGCGAAATCAACTACGGGAACCAATAAACGGATCATTCTATTATACATGTATAAAACATCGGATTTTACAGGACGAATACCGAGACCATTGGAATATAGGTGTAGCATACAAACCAACAGAATTTACCTACTAACTTACCTACTCCTGTTACCCCCGATCAAGCATAGGCCGCAGGCCAGTATTCTCCAACCAACTCTGTCCTCTGCTTCCCTTTCCAGTTCTTTCCAATTTTTGTCCATTCTTCTCATAACCTTCTCTAATTCTCGCTGTAATATGTTCCTTGGCTTTCCTCTTTTCTCTTGACCTTGCGGATTCCAAGTGAGGACTTGTTTTATGACACAGTTGGATACTTTTCGCAGTATGTCCTATCGACTTTAACCGCTTCTTCCTCCTCCGCTAGAATCTGCTTTGTTCTCTGCCACAGTACGTAACTCAACATAATCACTCCCATCAATCCAGTCAGTCAGTCACTTGCAACGTAGAACTTCGTACGTATGTACATAAGTTCATGTTGCCATACTACATTAGCACAGAGACACAGATGTCAAATCGAATCCCATAGTGATAAAGATAGTAGAGGTAATAATGGTAATGAAGAAGACTAGGGTTCGAAGATATTATTCAAGAAGTATGATTCAGTGAGATAAGGTTAGAAAGACAAAGGTAGATGTGCTGACGAATCCAGAAGATTAGGATTTGAGAGAGCACAACGGATGGATGCACTTGTGCCATTGCAAACGATTTTGAGCCATGTTGTTCAAGGTCTCTAACCATTGGTGACTTTCGTCTCGCGGACCCCAACCAGGTAGTCTACATCTATCAACATGACTCAGTCCACTTATCAGTGACTTCATGGATTTCCGCCATGTTTTGGTCTGGCCGACCCAACCACCTGAACTGATGAAGTTTCAATACTTCATCAATCGATTTACTATCCTTACCGAGTACCCCGTTTCCTAACGACAGCATTGCTTACTCGGTTGTCCCACGATATACGAGCAATGCTTCTAAGACATCTTTGATCGAATACTAGTAACCTACGAACAGCTTCTACTCTTAACGGCCATGTTTCGCATCCATATAGGAGAACGGAGCGAACTGCTGAACAGTACACTCGTCCTTTAGTCAGCAAACGGATATCTTGCCTACGCCATAAGTTACGCAATTGGGCAAAAGCTAATCGAGCCATCCTTACCTAGTACTCGTTTCCATCAATCTTATGTTGACCAAAGGTAAAAATGACAAAGGGAGAAAAAATCAAATGTCACCTACAAAATAAACTGCTCAGACTGTGATAAACACCACATAAGACATCAGCTTCGTTTGCGCAAACATCAATTAGCAGTCGAATGCCATAACAATTCTTCTCTCATATCAATACATAAGGAACAAATATGGACATACTTTCGATTGGAACAAATACTGGAAAGAAGGAGCACAAAGGACACCAGAAAATTTTTAAAAGCTTGGCCCTTATGTCAATCAGTTATCAACAGACACATCGACAATGACCCAATTTATCGACCAATCAGAAAAAATCATGGGCAAACATAGGGTCAAGGAATGACAAGTTTAAGGTCAGTAGCAACCAATCAAGATCTAGGTCAACAGAATAGGCTACGGCTCAAACGTGGAGAAATTCGTATACTTCACTTCTCTATTTAAAGTTTGTGCTGATGTTGTTGTTCAATAGGAGAACAATTTAAAGCTCCTCAACCGAACCCCATCCAGCTTAGAGAACCAATCACCACCACAGACATGACTATCAACTATTTTTAAATAATTTTTATCCTCTAAAGTAATATGAGTGCTATGTCAAAATGTAACTTTGTATCCAAACTATTCACTGTTTTTAATTTAAGTGATAAATACTCCTTATCTCCTTGTTTAATTGTAAAAGTTGATAAGTCAGAAAGTAGAATCCAAATAATCTTATTCTCAAGAAATATAAACTGATAGGTATTCATTCATGACGTATATATATATATATATATATATGCAGTGAACGAGAACATAGGTGGGGCAACCGAATTGTATTTAACGAAAATTACAGAGTTACTCACTAAAATTGGAAAACCATATCGTAAATTGTTCATTTGCAAAATGTCAGTCCACCATATCAAACTGGACTGTTCCTGTTGCAAAACATCAATCCATTGTCACTATTCATGCGTTTCATACAAATTCCATTGTGTTCTAAGTCTTCCTTTCTTGATCTTCCCCCACCATATTCTGGTGCCAGACACTGCGTTGACTGACACTCACGTCATATACTACTTATAAGTAGCTCAGACCATATATATATATATATATATATATATCATATAACACGTTTACAAAAATACAATATAGATACATCTTTATCTTTTTTATGATTTCAAATTTTATATTTTTCAAGAAATCCGAATCAAACAATGAAACCCCGACCAATAATACACTAATGAAAACTGAAGAAATTATACCAGTCATATCAAAATTATTAAAACATGAACATAAACGACTTATAACAGTAAGATTTTTTGTAAAACAAAAAATGGAAATTCTATTTTCAATGAATTCTGTTATGCAGATATGTAAACATGTTAATTTTGATATTATGTTTGAATGCTATTATGAGTTGACCTTAGTTGGAAAATGAGAGAGATGATCGAGGATCCGGTGACACGACACATGCTACTCTAATCCGAGTGTCCTAACCCCCACTGGTTGAAAGAAGAAGACTTGATATGAAGTAGAACCTGTATTCTACGAGCATTGATAGAGTACGAGGTTCAAGTCCAGAAGAGAATCAGGATCCCGGACTAGGGATCCGGGTCCTGGTCATAAAACATTACAGATAATGCGTATTTATACATTTAGGTCGAATCGCAAACTATATTGAAGTCTGTGACATTAATAGTTAGGACGACCAATAAGAAACAACATTGAAGTACGTGACGTCGGTAGCTAGGACGACCAGAATATTGACCAATTAGAATGGACAAATAGAATTTAACCTTAAATAATGATTCTTCATAGGATATTTGGTGAATATCCTAACAAATTCAAAAATTATTTAAATTAGTATTGTATTGATTAGTAAAGATAGATAATAGTTAGCTGAATGTATTTGCAGCGTAGAGTGGATATTCACTTCATTACACTCGAATCCAGTGCTATTTACTTTGAACACCATTTGCATTATCTACTTAGCTCTACAGTTGAGATAGGTAGTGGTTTGTGCGTAATGGTGAAGATGAATTCATTTGTATCGGGTGTTTAAATATTCTAAAATGATATGAGCTGCAACTTTGAAATTTAGCCATCCCTAACTGACGATTCCTAAATAGGAAACAATGAATATGTTGCATTCATGAGAGGTGATACATTCTGGCACTGATGTGTAGTCGTGTACCAGGACGAAATGGCAGTCTTTCAGTGCTTCCAGGTTTCTAATGATAATGGTCTAACAATGATTGATTCATGATTTCAATGTGTAAAAATCACGTTCTTCATAATACTTTGATGTAAAATGTATAGTTGCTCAATTTTTATTGGAGAAATTCTGAGTCTATGAGCATTTCTCCACGACCTCATACAATAGATCATACCTAAGGGTGAAAACAGCTTTTAACACTAATAATATTTTTTGACAGTGAAGATGCCGAAATATCCAGCTGACGAGTCATAAGTAGGATGAAACGCACGTCCTGGATTTCATTGCTAGCTCCTATCCATCTCTGTTGATAATACTTTCCGTCTGAACGCAATATCAAGGCAATCCTCACAGGATGCATATATGTTAAAGAGATTGAACAATTGCAGTCGTTAAAATCAATAGAAGGATTCAACACAATCAATACAAGTGAATCTTCTGTTTTTTTGTTCAAAAACTGTCCATTTAACTTGACACTAACGACAATTATTAGAACAGATTTAGAGACAAACATAATTAATCGATGATGGGGATTTTCAAATCAGACATTTTTCCCGCCAAGACATAGAAATTTATTCTCAATATACATGTTTTAATTTTCCATGTACAGATAATATGATACAGGATGAATCAGTTAGTTATTAGAATTTACTAAAACGAATTATGTTTCAGTTTCATAATGATAGAGTCATATAAAAATCAAAGCTAAATATGTGTTAAGGCAGAGAAGTATTTTAGTGGTGTTGTATCAATTTACATCATGTGGCGATCTGTTCTTGCGTCTATTTCATGAAACACCTAAGAATCAAATAATCTAGTTCAGAAAATCCGACACCATCGAAACCATTCCTTTGAGCTGTGAATGTTCGTCTATCATTTCAGAGAAATATCTTTTGGTGTAGTAAAAAGATACTTACACAATGGTGAAGTGTAATTTTGACTACATGTAATATGGTAGATCTGTTTACGTTTTAGATATATATTGTGACAATTTTTCAATCAATCAATTAACAGCAACATAAAACGTCATACGTACCAACATCATTTCAAGTTGACATACCACATTAGCACAGACAGATTGAATTGTCAATTCAGATCCCATAATAGTAGAGGTAGTGAAATTATTAGCAGTAGTCGGAGGGATTAGGGATAGAAGAAGATAATGACATATTAAGAAGACCAGACTTTGAGAGAACACAAAGAATGAATGCACCTGCGCCATTGCAAACGATTCTGAGCCATGTCATTCAAGGTCTCTGACCATCGAATACTATCATCTCGCGGACCCTAACCAGGTAGTCGACACCTACCAACATAACTCAGTCCGCTTGTCAGTGACTTTATGGATTTGTGCCATGTTTTGGTTTGGCCGCCCCTACCTTTCTTCCAACCTTCTCCTGCATCACAAAACATTGCTCGTCGAGTCAGTCGGTGGTTAGGCATACGTAATACATATCTCAACCACCTTAACTGATCAAGTTTCAATACTTCACCTATTGACCTGCTATCGTTGTTACCTAGGACCCGTTTCCTAACAACAACACTGCTTACTCAGTTGTTCCATGATACACAATCAATGCTTCGGAAATACCTATAACAATCTTTTCTAGAGTGTAAATTCTTATACAATTTTCCCCGAAATTCTGTCCATATGTAAAAAACAAGATTGATTTAGAATCATAGTAATATTCAGCTGTGAAATACAACAAAGCGCATATTTCGTCTCATTTCTAAACTCATCAGCTGAATGTACCTAAACCCTGTTGTGTTTTTGTTTGTTTGTTCTTCAAACTCTATAATAGTTTGTTTTTTTGGGGGGGAATAATAAATATGTTTTTCCCAGTTGTTCGATATTCAATTTCATCAATGTTTTTCTTATTTCTGTTTGTTTGTTTATTTAGGGTGTGACAATAGACGGTAAGTCAATGTATGTGTGTGTGTGAGCGTGTGTGTGTTTTTGTACCCTGGAGAGTTTTTCATTCTTTCGCCAAGTAATCATCAGATTGAGATTCAAAAAATAAAAAAATTTTTCTTTCCAACTCACTATTATCTATTAATTGCTTATTATGCTGTTATGTTTGAGCTGTGAAGATTGTTAACTTACATATATGAAATCATGAATCGATCAATGTTAGATCAGTAGTAGAAAGCTGGAAGCGCTGGGTGACTGTTTCGTCCTGGCATGAGACTCATCCAAAGGTTAGGCGCTCGTGCGCAAGATTGAAGGCCCTCAGTTCGAATCCTGTGAGGTGTAGGAGTTGTGGATGTGAACTGCCACTGATGAGTCCCATACCAGGACGAAACGGCCGTAGTGGTGGTCTAACATTGATCGATGTATGATTTCAAATGTTTGAGTTTGTCTATAAAGAGATTATGAACATGGATAAGTAGAAAGTGGTCAGAGGCAGTTGGTTGTGATTTCTGAAGTACCTACCATACCGTCAGGAAAAAAAACTAGATTTATGCGTACAGAAGAAATTAATACAATGACTTCGTTTAAAATTAACAATATATTTTTTCTCTCACAAAGCCATCTTCTTTTCTATAAGTTTCTTTGCAACCCGTCGCTGTTACCTTGACGTGATGGTCAGTCTTGCCTTTCATGATAACCCAGTCGAGCTCGATTAGCTGGAATATATATTACTGTTGGTTCTATCATGCCAGGCAGGTTGACTGGAGAACGGTAAGACTAAAAGCACCAGTCTGAGGCTCAAAATCGTTTGAATTGGCGCAGGTACATCCATTGCTTGTCTTCTCTCAAACCGTAATTTTCTAAATTCCTTAAGACCTTTTTTCTGCTTTTAAACTGATTTTACTAGAATTATTCTACTTAAATAATTTCTTCAAACCCTAATCTTCTGCATGACTGTTATTACTTCTACTATTTCTACCACTGTAGGATTCGAACTGACAATTTTATCTCTGCATACTAATGCGGTATAGCAACTTGAAATTGGCTTTTATCACGAGACCTAATAACCCTTCCAACTGCCAGGGTAGAGTTTGAATAGTTTGAATAAATTTCTCTAATTAGCGTTTCTTTAAAGAGTTAAATTTTTCCACAGGATGGAGTCGCCTACCACTATGCCCAACCCTCCTCATTTTTTTGCTGAGCCTAGAACCAGCAATAACCCTAGAAATGCTCCAGAAAGACTTAATCATATTTCGTAGTAATTAAGAATTCTACTTGAAATGAACATTAAACTTGTTCATCCATCCATCCTAGGTAACATTTGTATTAAAACAAACAAAACTTACTTCCAGCAAAGTTGTGTGTTGTTTTGATTTAAAAAAATAATTTTTCATTGTTTCAAATGACTTTCATTTATATCATCATAACAAAAATATCATGCTGAGTGAATGAATAATTTTCTTGCAAACAATTGTTTCTTTTTTTAAAAAAAATTGACTATTGAATTTTGAACCGCATTTTTCAAATTCATTATTCGATCAATATATATATATTTCTTCATCCTAGATGATCAATCACTTGAAACAAGTTTTGAAGATAGCGTGGCTATGAAAGAAGACGATCCCTTGCCATCAAGTCAATTATTGATCGATTCCGAATACACTGATCAAAATGAATTAACATCAGATAATTTAGGTGATAATGTGTGAATGTCGAATGTTAATTTGATTTGTTTTAATTTTTGGCTGGAATCACTTTTTGAAATTTTTTCTTCAGACTTAACATTGTCTACCCACAAATTTGTGCATATGAGTCATGCGTCATTCAATCAATCAATCAATCAATCAGTCAGTCGATCGATCGATCGATCGATTAACTGATAAAGTATTCAGTTATTTTTTTTTTGTTATGAAACCATATGAAAAAGTTGTTTAAATCGACATAATTTTTTATCAGAAAAAAAAGAAATCCTTGAAATTAAAATAAAATTAGTTATTAAATGATAATAAGAAAATGTAGTGTGGTGCGAGCTACTTATAAGTAGTATATGACGTGAGTGTCAACGTAATGGAATCCTCAAGGCAAAAGGAAAAGAGGAAGGCCAAGGAACACATTACGCCGAAAAATATAGAAAGATATGAGAAGAATGAACAAACATTGGACAGAATGGGAAAGGGAAGCTGACGACAGAGTTGGTTGGAGAAAACTGGTGGGCGGCCTATGCTCCATTCGGGGTAACAGGCGATAGTAAGTAAGAAAGTCAACATAATGTCTGGCAGCAGAAGATGGGGGAAAATCAAGAAAGTAAGAAGAGTGGGAACACAATGGAATTTGTATGAAACGCATGAATAGTGACAATCGATTGATGTTTTGCAGCAGGAACAGTCCAGTTCGATATGATGAACTGATATTTTGCAAATTAACGAACGGCTACGATATGGTTTTCCAATTTTACTGAGTAACTCTGTTATTTTCCTTAAGTGCAATCCGGTTGCCTCCCACCTGTGTTCTCGTTCACTACATTTGGTGTCGCTGCCTGCTCGAAGGGAGGAGCTCCCGTGGCCGAAGGAGTTGGAGGACGGAGATCTGCGGAGCTTCCTGGAGGAGTTTGAGGCCGTGGTGAAGCTAGTGGGTGTGAAGGGGCCCGGGCGGAGTAGGCGGTGCTGAGGACGCTGCGGGGAGGTGAGGCAAAGGCGGTATACGACAGTCTGGACGGTGCCGCCGGGAAGACGGCGTGGGAGACAGTCAACGGGCGGCTGATGACGGAGTTCGACAGCCCGGTGGACAGGGAGAAGGCGCCTCAGAGGTTCCGGTTGGCGAGGATGTCGGCTGATGGTGACCCGTTGTTGCTGGCTGTAAAGCTCACGATGTTGCTGCGCCGTACGCTGCCGAGTATGGATGGGGAGTCGGGGGAACAGTTGTTGGCGTTGCAATTTATCGGGAGTGTGCCTGCCGCCGTGTCCCAGCAGCGGGAACTAGTAAACGCTACACATTGGATAGATACCGTACCCGTTCCAGACCAGCGGGCAAGAACAATGACCGAAGTTGTAATCCGGCATATTGTAGCGCGTCACGGAATACGGAGGGTGATATTAACTGACCAGGGTCCCTGTTTTGATAGACTACGATGACAGCTTATTAAAAGGGGGGACGAGTGTGGTGCGAGCTACTTATAAGTAGTATATGACGTGAGTGTTAACGTTATGTTTGGTAGCAGAAGATGGGGGAAGATCAAGAAAGTAAGAAGAGTGGGAACACAATGGAATTCATATGAAACACATGAATAGTGACAATGGATTGATGTTGTTTGCAACAGGAACAGTCCAGTTCGATATGATGAACTGATATTTTGCAAATTAACGAACGGCTACGATATGGTTTTCCAATTTTACTGAGTAACTCTGTAATTTTCGTTAAATGCAATCCGGTCGCCTCCCACCTGTGTTCTCGTTCACCACAGTAGTTGCATAAAAGTTAGATGATAATAACTTGAAAATTACAGTTATCAAATAATATTTTAAATTTTCATCAATAAAATAACTATCGATCTAAACTTTTGTCACTTTTGGAAATCTAGTAATTGTGGATGGTTGTTTCGCTCTAGTATGAGACTCTTCAGTAGTGTGTATCCACGACTTTGACACGATGAAATTGAAAGGATAATCTTTGGTCTCGCGTTAAAACTCAGTAACCCTGTAGACCACTGAGGTCATCGGGTGTTCGTGATTTAAAACTATAAATGTAAGCGGAAAATGTTTGCAAAATTCTCTCTTATTAATATCTTCGCTATTCAGTTAGTGGGCATTCTTTCTATTTGTTGAGTACATGAGTACTGTATATAGGAGTGGAGTTTTTATTTCAGTTATTTCACATAAGTTTCTCAATAGGTATTCAAGGATATGTTACACTGAAAAATTTCGTAATAGATAGTTATGGTCGAATGTTCGATACTTGGAATGAAATATTTTACTAAAATCCATGTTTTAAGGTAACTTAAAAGTCCTTGAAAGTACTGACTATGATATACTTAGTGAATATTGAAAACATTGTACATAACCTCAGTCAAAATTTATGAAAAAAAAGTTAAGTTGTTGAATTGTCACATCATCATGGTTCTGAAATCATAGATAATGAATATCACTTGTATTTTAACCAAACTAAAAGACAGTCTGGTGTTTACTTCTCTTCATCATCATACTATGTTATATTAGTTATTAGACATCGTCGAGTTACTCTTTAAAATCATGAATCAATTAATGTTAGACCATCATTAGAAACCTGGAAGCACTGGTATGAGACTCGTCAGTGGTAGTGCTCGTCCACGACTCCCGATATTCGCAAGAATCGAACCCAGGAGCTTGGGTCTTGTGTGCGAACGCTTAACCACTGGACAACTGAGTCGGTATCTAATGATGTTTATGTCTAACTTTGATCAATCCAAGGTTTTGGTGCAACCTCATATACTGTGTTCGGTGATCACTGTTTAACATCCGAACAGGTTTCAATTCGACTGGTCACGATTTCTCCCTTAAACTCGGAGGAATTTCTTCACGGAGCTAGTCACTATTGAACATATGGGTTCGAATCGTGCAAGTTTCAAGAGTGGTGGATACGCACTGCTAATGAGTCACATACTAGTGCTTTCAGATTTCTACTAATTATCTAACAATGATCGGTTCATGAATTCGAAAACAATAATGATAAATGTTCTCTTGTGAGAAACATCGTAGAGATTTTGACTAATAAAATCAAAGGAAATTTATTTCATTTTGTATCGATTGATAATTTTCAGTTATCAAAAACAACTTTAAATAGGCATTCTCTTAGATGCATCATGGAAGCTGATGCGATGGAATAGTAGATAAAGATTTTGAAAAAAGGTTAAAGTATTAGCTGTTTGACTTTAAATATTCCAAGAATTACTGTCATATTTGAAACGTTGGTCTTCATAGATTTGTGAATCAGTATACGTATTTCACTCATCAGCTCAGTAATGTATTCAACCTGTTCGTGTAACCAGTGATTCAGAGGAGAACACATAAACCTGTACTTTATAGTGTCAAGTTAACACAACTGACTACATTTTACTCAAGGCAATCATGAAGGTCCTGAAAAGTTTGGACAACTGTTTTGTCTTCTAGTATGGGACCGTCTGAGGACCAAGACCTCCGGGTTTCTTGGCAATTAATTAACATCTGAACTACTAACTTACTCTCGACTTGATTGATCTCTTCTGTTTACATCTACTTTTGGGGAACTAAAGAATCACTTCTTAGAATCAGTCATTTTTCAAAACAATATGTTACATCCTTGTGAGCGAAAAAAATTTATAAGCATTAAATTACTGATTGTTCATACTTTTGAACATTAAGTTTAGCCTTAATGTTTCACACCCATTTTTTTTCTTCAGTAAATAATCTGAAAACGAAAATACAAACTTAAAAATCACATGATTCATCTTGAACTTGGATAAGAAATCCTTTCTTTTTCTATTTATCATGAAATTTAAAATCTTCATTTTATTTATTTTTTCTTTCTGTTAGTGAGTAGATTGTTATAAGTAGTAGTAGTAGTAGTAGTATACCTGAACTACCGACTGCCTCGTTGAGTGACATTTAGTGGTGTAGAAGTAGGTTGAAGGAAAGCTAGGGGCGGTTAAACCAAAACATGGACAGAATGTATGAAGTCACTAACAAGTGGATTGAGTTATGTTGGTAAATGTAAACTACCTAGTTGAGGTTTGCGAGACGACTGTAATCCGTGAATGATATGGCTCAAAATCGTTTGCAATGGCGAAAGGTGCATCCACTGTTTGTGTTCTCTCAAATTGTAATCTTCTGAATTCCTCATCACTTTATCTTCTTTTTAAGATATTTTAATAGATTCTACTTCTTGAATAATATCTTCGAACCCTTATCTTTCAGATTATTGCTAATTCTTCTACTATCTCTACTACTATGGGATTTGAACTGACAATTTTGTCTCTGTGCTACTAATATGGTGCCAGTGAGAGTAGAAGATATTCGTAGGTTACTGGTTTTCGATCATAGGTGTCTTCGAAGCATTGCTCGTATATCCTGGGACACTGGAGTGAGCAACGCTGTTATTAGGAATCGGGTGCCAGGTAAGAATGGCAGATCAATAGATGAAGTAATGAAACTTCATCAGTTGAGGTGTTTGGGCCATGTGGTGCGTATTCCTAACCACCGACTGCTTCGAGGAGCTTTGTTTTTTAGTGTAGCAATAGGTTTGAAGAAAGTTAGGGGCGGCCAAACCAAAACATCGCAGAAATCCATGAAGTCATTGACGAGTGGACTTAGCCATGTCGGTAATTGTCGACTACCTGGTTGGGTTCCGCGAGATGATAATGATCGATGGTCAGAGACCTTGAATGACATGGCTAAAAATCGTTCGCAATGGCGCCGGTGCATTTATTCTTTGTGTTCTCTCAAATCCTAATCTTCTGGATTCTTCAACCCCTGTACTTTTGACTTTCTAAACTTTTCTCACTGAATCATACTTCTTGAATAATATGTTCTAATCCTAACCTCTCCGATTACTCCTAATACCTTTACTACCTCTTCTACTATTGGATTTGATTTGACAGTTATATCTCTGTGCTGATGTGGTATGGCAACATGAACTGATGTACTTACGTACGAAGTTCTACGTTGCATCGGACTGACTGACTGACTGTGCTAATATGGTATGGCAACTTAAACCTATGTACTTACGTACGTACGAAGTTCTATGTTATAACTGACTGACTGACTGACTATTAGTAGTTTATTAGTAGCTGAAAAAAGTTTACAGAAAATATCTGAAAACAGAAAGAAAATCATTTCCAATATTTTTATTTTCAATTCTTTTTCATTCAAGAATAATGTTAGTGGTAGTTTAGATGATGCTTGAGTTACGCTCACGTTACTTTTTTTTTTAAAAAAAAATTGTTCACTACTACTTATTTATCTTACTACTTACTTACTACTTACTGCAGTTTGTTGACGAAATACTATGTTCGCACAAATAGTTCAGTAGAAATGACTTAGCTTTTGAAACTGGGTTGTTTATTTTTTGTGCAATCCGCACAAAAAAGCATCATTTTTCCTCGAAATGACACATACATCTTAATGAACTACGATTAACGAAAAACCAAGGTTCAAAGTGACCTAACGATTACTTTCAACTACCTAAAATCGAATCGTTGTATAGGGGATGTTGAATGCGGAATCTGATCAACAGAATTGGATTAGCAATTAAAAGGCATGACAAATATATCATCCGTCTCTATGTATATGTAATTCCATTGTAAATACTGATTTTAATAATACAGTACTGAGAATATTACTTAAAATGAAGCATTGGATTCTGACCGATTTGGTGTCATGTGCTTTTATGTATATGAGGTCGGATGTTACTTCCCGGCTGTCCACACAGTGAAAGGGTTCTGGCTGTCAGAAGGGACACCGGCCTTGTAACTTCTGAAGGAACTCGGCTTTGATCATGAGACGTCATAACTCTTCTAAATGATGGTCTTCTAACTCCCAGAGCAGATTTCATTTGGTTTGAATTATTTTTTTGCTTGTTAACGTTTTTCTGGCGAGTAAGTTTTTTATGGGATGGGTGTTGGGGATGTTAGATCCCCAGAATACGCTTGATAAATATCTTTATTTTGGATTTATTTCATGGACCGATCAGTTGACCTTGAGATCACATTTCCCACCAGGAAAATCTTTGGCTGTGATCGGTGGTTACTGTGTCATTTTAGTGTACTACTTTTGTGACTGTCCCAAGGACGTCTCTATAGAGTATAAATAAATGAAATTTGAGTGCATGGATTCATTGTGTGCTGACTGGGTGTTTGTAGAATACAATTTCCACACTATATCAAGACTTCTTGCTGATACCTTTTGGTCAAGGGATCACAGTAGCCTCTACCGGGACGCTGGTTCAGTGTTTTGTTCTCGTTATTTGACTAAGGTGAACTCGTACTAGTTTAAGCATACCTTGAGAGGAGCGTAACAATGGGCTCGTCAATCCCGATCCCAACCCTTCTCTTTTATCCGGGCTTGGGACCGGTCTTAGCCCCGAAGAGTCTTAGACTGACTGACTAAATTGAAGAAGACAACAGTAAACATATACATATTATTTCGAATTTTATTTAATGAATGCGTATATAGCGCTAGGACTAGTCAACTCCACGATTATGTAATGATTGTTCAATGTTCTGTCTATAAACGAGTGTAATAGCTTTAGAACTATCGATAAAAAAGTTCAATGATTAACATACAAAACTATCATTAAAATAATAAAAAGGTCATGCAATTTATTTTTCCGCGGTGAATTTAACTTAGACAGAATAATACAAATTCATTATACTTCGTGGTTTCTCATCAGACGCTAGATCTTCAGAAATTGCTTGGTAAATGTCTTAATCTTTGTAATTTATTTTTCAAAGTTTGAGTTTTTTGTCTTCATATCAAAACCATCTCTTATTACCTTCAGTTTGTGTTTCCCGCTTTGAAAGACCTTGAACCAGATTGGTTAGTTTTCCATTTTTTAGTGCTCTATTTATGAAGCTCTTTCAAGGACAAGTTTTCTACTGTGTATGTTAGGCTTAAATTAAAGATTTGTTGTTTACAGAAAGCTATACTCTCGCTCCTGGGACTCACACCCAGGATCTTCAGTTTCGTGAGCAAATGCCCAACCCTTCGGAATACTGAGCTAGCATCCAGCTATAATTGACATAATCTGTAGTAGAGATTGCTGAATATGAAATCTTCACTCATATACTGACTTTGATCAGATGACTATTGGAAATCCAAAAATCGATAAGAAGGAGTTTGATCTTAATACAGAACCCCCTTATGAATATACACACCAACAGCTTTATTGGATGATAAATACATACATATAATCTGTATTACATAATCTATAATCATCTTTAAAAATTTTTTTATCTCTTTTCATTATAATAGGTAATTCAAAGAAGACTTCAAATAATGATTTTGAGAAGTATAAATTTATTTTTGTTATCGGTAAATTATATTACTATTATTATTATTGTTAGTATATATGTAATGTTAATAATAATTTGTAGTTTTAATGTTGTATTCCCTTATTTACACCAGTGAAGCATAGGTCGGCTACCAGTAGTCTCCAGCTTACTTTGTCCTGGGCCTCCCTTTCCAGTTCTGTCCAATTGTTATTCATTCTTCTCATGTCTGTCTCCATTTCTGGGAGTAAAGTGTTTTCATTGGGTGTTCCTCTTTCTGATTGACATTGAGGGTTCTAAGTGAGGGCTTGTCTTGTGATGTAGTTGTGTGTTTTCCTCAATGTGTGTTCTACCTACTCCCAGCGTATTTTCCCAGTTTCTTCCTCAGCTTCAATTTGGTTTGTTCTCTCCTCCAGTAGGTTGTTGCTGATAGTGTCTAGCCAGCGAATCGAAAATATTTTGTGCAGACTATTTCGACTAACTGTTACTTTCGTTGTGAATCAATACCACCTAGTCTTCAAACCACGTTGTTCACTATCCCGTATTCTTAATAATGAAAGTTCTATAGTTTAACTAACAATAACAGTTTTCATATCTTACATAGATCATACTTTTATAATCTATTTGTGTGAATGTATTAAATCAACTTTTCCAGCAGTGTTAGAGTCATCATGACCAAAAGTCAGGTTCGATAAGGAATTTCCAAACATCATCTCAGCTGATTAAGTATAGGATAGTAAAGGCTTATTGAGGGCTGTTTACTTTTTCACGTGATTGATGAATGCATACAGAGATATTAAGATCATCCATCTAATATGTTTTCAGCTATTACGAGTCACCTTAATCGATAACGAAACGGGGATCAGTGATTCAGTGACACAATAGGCTATTCTAATTCGATCGTTCCAGACTCCACTAACTAGAGGAAAATGTCTTGATAAGATGTAGAGAATGTATTGCACAGGCAGTCAGAAAGTGCGAGGTCCACAAGCACACAATTCAAGCTTATTTATACAATGAGAAAATGTCTTTGGTGAGAACCACAGAAGAGAGTACTAAAATAATAGTCCATCAACCCAAATCCCACTAAATATTAGGTCACTCTTTTACATATACGCTGTTCACTTGTAGTTAAAGTAATCAGTAAATATATCTTAACCAGTGTGACTTCAATATTTTGATCGCCTACCTTATTATCAAATAAATTAACACCGGAAATTTATTATAAACGACATCTAGAGCTATTCACTATTTTGCCAAAACGTTTTACTGATTTTCTATTTTAATTGTGTTATTACATAACGCTAACGGTCTCATCGATCAGTAGCTATTGTTATTCATATTCAACTTATGATGTAACATTTTATCGATTTCTTCTAATACATGCGCTAATTAAACAGTTCAATAATGATTGTAAATTGACCGCTTATTTACTTATCTGTGCCTCTTACCCCCAATGGAGCATATATCACACAGATCAACATTCTCCAACCTATTCTGTCCTGAGCGTTCCATCCTAGTTCTGTCGAATTGCTGTTCATTCTTCTCATGTCTATCTTCGTTTTGGTCGGTGTAATGTTTTCTTCAGTCTGTTATTTTTTTCACTGTCCTTAACAATTCCATGTTAGGGATTGTCTTGTGACTCACTCAAGTGATTTTCTAAATGTGTGTCCTTTCCACCGCCAACACAGTTTACTAATTTCTTATTTAGTTGGAATCTGGTTTGTTCTCTCCTACAGTACGTTGGTGCTCATAGTGTCTGGCCAACGAGTCCGAAGTATTTCGCGTAGACAACTGTTAACGAATACTTGTATCTGCTGGATGATGGAATTCATAGTTCTCCAAGTTTCTACCCTGTACAATTGAAATGTTTTGACATTTGTATCCGAAAATTCTGATTTTGGTATATTGGTTGATAGTAGTTTTGAGTTCCAGATGTTCTTCAGTTGTAGAAAGGCTGTCCTTGTGTAGTGAAGGAGAACACAGGTGAGGGCAACCGAATCGTATTTAACGAAAATTACAGAGTTACTCAGTAAAATAGGAAAACCATATCGTAAACGGTTAATTTGCAAATCTTCAATCCATCATTAATCCATTGTTTGACATTTCACTATTCATGCGTTTCATACAAATTCCATTGTGTTCCCACACTCCTTCCTTTCTTGATCTTCCCCCATCTTCTGCTGCCAGACATTACGTTGACTGACACTCGCGTCATATACTACTTATAAGTAGCGCGCACCACACTTGTTTGGCTAAGCCGTGCATTTACATCTGCGCCTCATCCATGTCTCTTGTCAATGATGCTACCTAGATATATAAAGGTTTTTTACATCCTCCAAGGCATCTCTATCAAGAGTGATTTGGTTCTTGTATGTTGTGCTGTATCGAAGAATCTTGCTTTTCCCTTTGAGTATATGATAAGACCAGCTATTGCTATACTGATCGTCTTTTCCTGCATTCGTTGTTTAGTGTATATTGAATGAAAAGGGTCTACAAATTGAATTATCTTCTTGTATCAATGATCAAACAAGATGAAAAATCAACTTTTGAATATTAACATTAAACTAAAATAAGAGCTTACATTCAATGGATCAATACTTCATATTACTTCTCTTTAATCTTGAATATTATTTCTATAATCATTCTACCTACTACCCATTGCGAATAGTTTTAAAAATCATGAGTTAATTAATAATAAACCGCTAATAGAAACTTGAAAGAACTGGACAGCTGTTTCGTCCTAGTATGGTCGTCGGACTTGCCTATCATGATGACTCAACCAAAATGGAATATATGTTTCTTTAGGTCGTACCATGCCAGGAAGGTCGATTGGAGAACGGTATGACTAAAAGCAGCAACTCGAAGTATGAAGGCCAAGTTGCATAGTTGACTATAGAGGAGTGTGACGAGCGTCTTCAGAAACACTGACTTCTCACAGGGGAGGGAATAGCTTAGAAAAGGTCAACCTTAAACACTATCATACCTCACCTTACACTACAGATTTCCATTTCTGACGGTGAGGCTTTTTGAAGAACGGAGCTAACACTACAAAACTTCCTATCAGAAGGTTTGGAGCGATCGGTTTCAATCAATTTCCCATTAGGCTCTTCAGTCATACTTCCAGGTTACTAAGACGAATGCTAACCTCATTTCCTTTTCATGTTCATTTAGAAACACCTATCTAAGTTGTAATCAGTCGGAAAGTGATCTTCTGTTTCCGATACGTAACTGCACACAAGATCAACTTGGTTAAAATCATATCCTGACAACATTTTATATTCTAATGATGATGTTTACGCTTATTTATTGACCTATGAAATGGTAGTAGACAAAAGTTTACTAAGAACAGAAATATGTTGAGACCTGCTGCTGCTGCTACACTGGTCGTCTTCTCCTGCATTTGTTGTTGAGTGTATATTTAATGGAAAGGGTCTATAAATTGAATTATCTTTTGTTATCGATGGGATTCATAATCAGTGCGCATTCACGACTTCAACTTGTTAGAATCAAATCCACGAAAGACGGTCTTACTCGTAAACGTTTAACTTCTAGACCACTAAGCCGGCATCCAACAGACAACTAGTGATTCTAGGTTACTACTAGTAGTCTAATATGGATTGATTACTCATGTCACTTAAACAACTCAACAATTTCCGTAATCGCAACATTTTCTAACCAAAATTATTATTTTGTTTCTTTTAGGTAGTAATGAAGAGATTAGACGATTATATTGTAAACATTTATTAAAACAATGTAATTATAATTATATTTCAATGAAAAGTATCATGGATTCTTCAATGAATTTAAACAATGAAAAAATATCATTTAATTTAAATAAATTAATTGAAATTATTACTGAGGAAATGAATAGAACACGTAAAATTGGTTATATTATTGATGGGATACCGAATAGTTTGTCTCAAGCAAAAGAAATCGAAGCTTACAATGATTCATTGAAAGTATGTATGCTATTTGTAGTTTTGAAATTGTTTTTAAAGTTGTACTGTTCGTTTTTGGCTTTTTAAAAGTGTTTATTTTTTCATTTATGTATAATATTTCATTTGATTGTAGGTGGTACCTTGAAGTGGTCATCGGACTTGCCTATCGTGATAACTCAATCGATCTATATTGGCTGGAATAAATGTTTCTCTAGGTTTCACCAGGTTGATTGGAAAGCGATAAGACTAAAAGAGGCAACTGAAGGTCTTAAGGCGAAATCTTATCGTTGACGGCAGTAAGATGTTTCCCTCGGAAAACCAGTATATGCAGCGACGCTGCCTACTTATAACCGAAAGAAGGGGTTAGAAAAGGTTGACCTTAAAAATTCTCATACCTCACCTTACATTATAGATTTCAATCTCTGACGGTGAGGCGTTTTAGAGAACGGAGTTAACACTTCCAAAACTTACTATAAAAAGGTTTGGTGCGACTGACCTCAATCGTTTTTCCCTTAGGCTGTTCAGTCACGCTTTCAGGTCACTTAGATAAACTCTGATCCCACTTCATTTTCACGTTCTTTAAGAAACACCCTTCTTTGCACAAATTCATAACATATCTTGTTCAATTATATATATTAGACAGCTTCAGCGTAGAACTTCGTATGTTCGTACATCAGTTTAGGTTTCTATAACACATCAGCTGATTGTCAATTCAAATCTTATAGTAGTAGAGGTAGTAGAAGTATGAACGATAATGGAAAGTATGAACGATAATGGAAAAGTGGATGCACCTGCTTTATTGCAAACGATTGTGATCCATGCCATTTAAAGTCTGTAATCATCGATTACCATCATCTTACGGACCCTAACCAGGTGGTCTACACCTACTAACATGGATCAGTCTAGTTGTCAGTGACTTCATGGATTTGTGCCATGTTTTGGTTTGGCTGAGCCTAGCTTCCTTCTAACCTACTCATACACCATAAAACACAGCTCGATGAGTCAGTCGGTGGTTTGGAATACGTAATACATAGCCAAACCACGTCAACTGATGAAGTTTCATGACTTCATCTACCTATCTGCTATCCTTAACTAGTAATCGTTTCCTAACAGCAGTATTGCTTACTTGGTGCATGAGCAATGTTTCGAAGACATGTGTAAGTGAATACTAATGACCAACGAATATCCTCAACTCTTAACCGGCTATGTTCCGCATTCATTTAGTAGGATGAAGCGAACTGCTGTACGGTAGTAGACTTGTCCTTCCGTTAGAAAACGGATATTATTATTAGTATTATTATTATTGCCATTAGCGTTATAATTTCTAAAGTAATTTACCGCAAACTACAAATTATTTCATTTATTTATTAAAAACTATTTGTGTCTTTATTTTCTAGTTTTCAAATTGCAAACTGATTATTTTGCTAGAAGAGAAAATTACTGAGACTAATCATTCAGAAGATATTTCCGATTCTTATACAAATAATATTGACAAAGATTTAATTGAATTTTTGGAATCCTCAAAAAAATTATATCGTGTAAGTTGTATTCTTGATAAAAATTTGACTTTATTTGTTGAAAGTTTGATTTTTTTCTAATTAGAGTTATGAAGATCAAGTGTTTTTACACATTTGAAATGATCAATCAATTATTAATTGAAAAACAATCGTAAAATGTGCTCACTAGTGACTAGCTCCGTGTGGAAATTCTCGGAGTTCTAGTTGAGAAGATGTGCCGGCCCAGTGGTCCAATGATTAGGCGTTCGCGTACAACACTAAGGGTCCCGGGTCCGAATCCTGCGAGTGGCAGGAGTCGTGGATGCTCACTGATGATGAGTCCCTTACCAGGAAGAAACGGTCGTCTTTCAGTGCTTCCAGGTTTATAATGGTGTTGGTCTAACAATGATTGATTGATGATTTCAAATATGTAGAAAGTTTGTTTACCTTAGCGGCTGAATGGAAATTTCGAAGTTGATTTAAAGAGCTCACCGCAGAACACAGGCTATCAACCGCGATTCTTCAACCAACCCTATCCTGTGATTTATTATTCAGTTATTTGGAGATACTTTTCATTACTTAGATATCTGTCTCCAATTTACTTTGATATTGAGGATTACAAGTTAGGGTATGCCTCGTGATGCATTTGACGGCTTTCCAAAATATATGTCCTATCCACCTGCAACATCTTTTCCCTTCGTCTCTCATAGTTAGAAGCTGGTTTGTTCTCTCCCAAAGTAGGTTGCAGCTGATATTGTCTGGTCAATGCATCCACAGTATTTTTCTTTGACAAATGTTTATCAATAGGCTGCTGATGAAACGGCCATTTATATTCTGCATTTCTTGCTGTTTGTGTGGGAAAGAAGCGTTAGATAATATTCAAAGTTCATGTAGTCTAGCTACATCTGAGCTTTCCACTGTATACCTTATGTTGTGTGTGCTACTTATACGAACAATATAAGTAGTATAAGAAGGGACGTGAAAGAAGAAGTCGCACGGCCCAGGAATGGAAGAAGGAAGGAGTGTTGGAAGTCACGACTCAAAGATGGTGTGCATATAGAGTATTCAATGTAATGTTTTTACTTTTGACTGACTTGGAGTGTAAATATGCATAATTCAATCTTCCTCTGAGTCAGTTGAAAATCAAAACATTACATTGAATACTCTATTTGCACACCATCTTCTTGAGTCGTGACTTCCAACACTCCATCCTTCTTCCATTCCTGTTGTTGCTTCCTTCCCTTCCTGTTGGTACTCCATTTAGCTCTTGCTTTTGCCCCATTTGCTTTCCGTTTTCCTCTTCTGACCGTGCGACTCCTTCTCCTTTCACGGCCCTTCTTATACTACTACTTATATCGTTCGTATAAGTAGCACACACCTACACTTACTTCTTCTGAAATGTAAAAGTCTTCATAATCTAGTTGGTCAACAGAAGAAACGTTAAGAATAATTTGCCTTGTCTAAACTTCAGTCTTCATTAGAAACGAGTCTGTTGATTATACTCCAAGTACGATTTTACACTTTAGTCGATAATCAGAATTCCATATGATATTGACTATCTATCTTCTCAAAGGTTGTTCACTTCATCTATCAAACATAAATTCCCATAAACGAGCTATAAATATGACTTAATTTTAGAAAAAAAAGTAACTAATTCACACACACACATATATATATATTTTTTATTTTCAATGTTACCATCAACAAATTATTGACACTTGAATAGAGAAGATTGATTGATATGTACAACATCAGTGTATGATTATTTAGATTTTTTTTTCAATGATTGTTGAATTAAGTAAGATCTATCTTTCTCAATCTTTCACATAAAATTCGGTTCTTTCAAATGTTATCCCATAGTAAAAATAAAATTCACTTTGTTTGAATCTGTTTTTTTTAAAAATTATAAATATATATTACTACCAAATTTGTTTTTGCGAACTTTCGTTATTTTTTTTTAATGGGTGTAACATGTTGCGTTTGTTGATTTTGATTTTTTGCGTTAGATATATTGAACATTTAAATAAATAGTTTGTTTATTTATTCGCGTTACTATAGTAACCGGAATAAATATTAACAATAATAATAATAATAGTAATTGAATTTAAATTGAAATATCAATCTATTCGAATGTTTAAAATGATATATATAGAATTATTTCCTTTTATTCAAATAATATATATATATATATAATTATGTTTGAAGTGTTATTTCGGAAGAATGATTGATACTTACATAGTTGAGAAATTTAGTTCAAAGTAACTATCATATAAATTGATAATTAGTACGTAACAATACGTTTACCTACGTACGATAAGTTCATAATGATTGAAAAGAGAACAGAAGTCCATTGTGTTTTTGTGAATTAAAACAATCAACCGAAAAACAATTAGGTATATTTAGTAATGGATGAGGTCACGCAAGACCATTGACTGATCGAAGTTATACAATAACGAAGCAGGATGCCAGGTCAGTAGTCCAGAGGTTGGGACTTCTTGTGAAAGACTGAAGGTCCTTCGTTCGAATCATGTGAGTAGTAGTAGTGTGGTGCGAGCTACTTATAAGTAGTATATGACGTGAGTGTCAACGTAATGTCTGGCACCAGAAGATGGGGGAAGATCAAGAAAGGAAGAAGAGTGGGAACACAATGGAATTTGTATGAAACGCATGAATAGTGTCAATGGATTGATGTTTTGCAACAGGAACAGTCCAGTTCGATATGATGAACTGATATTTTGCAAATGAACGATTTACGATATGGTTTTCTAATTTTACTGAGTAACTCTGTAATTTTCGTTAAATACAATTCGGTTGCCACACCTGTGTTCTCCTTCACTACAGTACCAGGCCTGAGAAAGTAACAACAACAGATTATCTCAGAGACCCCAATTTTTAGCCTGGATCCAGTGATGTATGTATACTGTGGAAGAGTTATATGATAAAATGAAATAACCTCTGAATAACTTTACTTTCTAATAGATTTCTCAACAATTTAATGAGATTTTTGACGTCTAATCATAAAACAATCCAAATTAAAGTTGTCAGATAACATGATTTCACAAATTTACATTCTATAAGATATGTCTTTTACTTTCGTTTATTCAGAAATTATAGTAATATGTATCACATATACCATTCTGTGTTTTTGTTATAGGTACCTTGTTCACGGAGTGAAGATGAAATAGCTTATCAATTGCACAACTTATTTTCATAATTTGAAATCTTCACCAAACTATTTTGTTTGTTTTTTCTTGATTTGCATTCTTCTATTCATGTATTTGCAGTGTTCAATGTTCAAAGTATCAACTTTTCAGATTTCAATTATTGTAATAATATTAGGCTTTTTAGAATGCTTTTGCTTACTTAATAAATCAGTGAGTAACAATAAACAAAAAGAAGCCATTTTTCATACCTTTTTTTCTATTTCGCATTTAAAGACATGTTAAGAGATGTGCTCATGAGTTATTCGGTCGAGCTTATCATGTATGAACAATCGTTAACCACATATATTGATAAAAACATGGAACAGGTTGAAGTCTTCTGTATTCAGTGATAGCTTATCCACTTTCCTGATGATCACAAATATACTTCCATTTAAAATGTGTGTATGATCTCAACGTTTAATCACTCAATTATAACATAATAATGACAAAACGCATAACACTAGGCTTTACAGATAGTACCTTAAACACAAGTGAATTCGATCAACAAACTCAATTTATAGAATACTAGTTAGAAGAGCAGTGTATGGAACTGTATTGAATGTTTTGAATACGTTCAAAATATAATACATACGCGAATGATTTATGGTTGTATGCAGCTGTCCAGTTCTTTTCCTATCCAAGCATTTGTCTAACAGGATTCACTCTACCTGAACCCAAATTTGATGCTTCATGAAACAGTTTATTGTCTCTACAATTATGTCATGCACTATTGGGTTCGTCACTAAGTATGATTGAGGCTATTACGAGTTTGCCTTAGTCGATAAACGCGAACGAGACAGTTACCAGCGTCCAGGTAGGCTACTTTGAATCACAAAGAAAAGTAAGAAGACTTTTTAAGCGTAGAAAGTATATCCTAAAAACACCCAGCAATCACAGTACAATCAAGCATACAACTCTCGTTTATTTATCCAACAAAGAAACGTCCTTGAGACAGTTATGAAAATAGCACACTAAAATACACAGCAGCCAATCACAGCCATAGATTTTCCTGGTGGGAACTCTAATCTCAAGGTCAACTGATCAGCCCGTGCTGGCAAACGTGAAAACCGAAATAAGGCGTTTAACAAGCGAGTTTTGGGGATCTAACGTCCTCAACACGCACCGAATTTTCTAATACTTTTGATGGTATCAGAAGCAATGATACAAGTCGACGATAGTTTAGATATTTTCTATCTCATCCGTCTGAAAATTCATATGAGGACTGACTTCTATTGCTGCGTTAGCTGATTGTCATTGTATGATCAGTTAACTAGATAGCATAGAAATTATTCATAGTCTATTCTTGTCGGGCCTAATTCATCGTTTTAAGATAATTTCCTTGTGCAAAGGTTTAGTAGACTTCTTAACACTCATGTCACCTTCACATTGAAAGAGTTATTAATTTATCCTAGTTTCACTTTTGATCGTTCTTTTGATGTTGTTTCGATCTTTGTTGGTAATGACAGATGATCGGATTTCTGGAGGCTGTTACATTGGCAACCGAAACCTTCATGATTTTTGATTGACTACACCTATTTTAACCATCTTAAATTGACGGAAACTTCGTTTCTTAACTTCTAGGAACTTAGTTTCTTGTAGTAATGTTGCTGATGTTTGTTCATACTGATTCGGTAAAAAACTACTTTGTGACGATTTGTTACCGAGTTAATCAGATGGTAAATTTTTGAGTGCGCCAATATGCGATCTGTCTGTATGAAATTCCAATCTACAGTTGGGGTTTCCTGGACAGCGTAAGGGAGAATACTTAATTATAGGGTAGTATCTAGCCTAAACAACTACAAGTTTATGTATGGCTAACTTCCTAGGTCTCACAAACACAGTACATTAGTCAGATAAGTTCTGACAAAATCATTTAGTCTATCTTGTAGAAGAACAAGGATTTATTTTTTGAATAATACAATCCAAGCAGTAGCAGCGGGTTGACATTGACAGTGAAACGTCTGGCTTTGGTGTTTGTCGATAGTTATTTTGAATACCAGGCGTTATTCAATTGTAGAAATGCTGCGATTGCTTTGCTGATCCGTATATTCCTTCACCTCTGAATCAGATCCACCTGCAGAGGTATGTTATGGTTTCTACAACTGCCAAAACTTATCGGCCATGTGTAATTTGGTTGGCTTATGTTGTGTAGTATCGTAGGATCTTGCTTTTTCTTTTGTTTATGTTGAATCCTACTGCTGCTGAGGATACTGCTAAACTGGTCATATTCCCTTGCGTTTGTTGCTGCCTGTGCGACAGAAGAACTAGCTGCATCCCAATAATCCAGTGTATGCCATGCCTCCTCCCTGATGTTAATGTGTCAGGATATTCATCAATATCCTAAGAGAACTTTTGGTCAATTCATATTGGTTAATTCCTACTGGTCAGTTTTATGGTCGTCCTAGATATCAATGTCACGTGTTCCAATAATGTTTCTTATTGGTTGCCCTGACTATCAATGTCACTCCAAATTTTGCTTCCTATTGGTCGTCTTAACCATCAATGTAACAAACTTCTATGCTGTTTCCTATTCAACCTAAATGTATATATACTGATTATGTGTAACGTTTTATGACCAGCACCCGGTTTCGAATCCCTAGTCCGAGGTCCTGATTCTCCTCTGAACTCGGACCACGTACTTTCTGAATGCTTGTAGAATACAGGTCCTACTGCATTTCAAGTCTTCTTATTTTTACTGAATATGGGTGAAGTGTGCCGATAACTGCGTGTTCTTAAGCTCGGTTTATAAATCAGAAGATGAACTCGTATTGATGAATACGTTTATTCGAGGCACACCACAATGCGAAGCGGAGAAGCGAATTGGAGAAGGCTAAGAGCCAACTCAAATAGATAGAACATGACTAAGAATATATAGTCAGACCAAAAATAAGACAGACATATGACAAGCGAAATAGGTATGCACACACATGAATAAAAGCGACGAATGATTGACAAGGTCAAAAGCAAGCGATACAAATCATGTGAGTTCATGGGAATATTACGAGATTAACATTAAAGCGAAAAGGATGAGTAAGTGCGTAAGCGTAAGCAATGCTCAGTCGTACAAGCTCATACAGAGCAGATAATAAAAAATACCAATGGTACATATGAGTTGTTGCTATGCAAATAGCTTGGTTACATAAATTAATCAAAAGGCTTAATCAGATTAAATATGAGCGAACTCAAGTTTATGTGGAGGCACTACATGGGATTGGGACCCTCGGATCAGAGTACCATGTCTTGTCCTCGGATCCTCAGTCCTCGCTCCCGTATTCCGACTACGGTTAACTCGTAATAATTCAAGCATATCATGCTGACGTGTTTACGTTCAGACGTAACAAATATCTTCATTATCCAGTCGATCACTAGGAAAAAGAAAAAGGTTGAGAGTAAGAAACCTTGCTTTACACCGGTCTTCGCTTCGAACAAGTCTGCCGGCTGTCCTCCATGAATGATTCTACAGTTTAAACCACCATAACAATTCCTTACGATGTTGACTATTTTCTCAGGCACGCTGTGGTTTTGCAGAAGCCTCTATAGCGTTGTCCACAATAATCCTCAAAGTTGCGATTTAGTCGGTACGCGATCGATCCTTACGAAATGCAGCCTGTTGATCTCCAAGTCGGGTATCTACGAAAGTCCTTCATTCTGATTAGCAACACCCTGTCGAAGACTTTGCCTGGTATTGAGGGAAGATTTAGGCCTCCATAGTTCTCACACTCGCTGAGATCGCCTTTCTTTGCTATTTTGATGACGTATCCTTTTTTCCAGTCTTTTGGTACGTGTTCTTCATACCAAATTTTTTGAAGAGAGTATGGAATATTTTTGCAGTTTCTGCCATGTCTGCTTTCATTGCCGAAGAAAGGCCGAAAAAAACTGCTGTGATTTGTATGCCCCGTTGTTCAGTGCCTCTTGAGTTTCAACTTCATTTAGGTGACTAGCAAGTGGTGATCCGAAGCTATTTCATCTCCCCTCTTGGTTTTCACGTCTCCTGTCGTCTTTCTGAACCTTTTATTTATTCAGATATGGTCAGTTGGGTTTTCTGTGGTGTGATTCAGTAAAATCCGTGTGTCTCTGAATTTGCGTTTGTGTGTGCATCTGTAACGTCATCAATATAGTCGTTGTAATGTCCCTTTTCTTTGTTTTGAAGGATCCCTTGATGATCCCAGATTACTGAGTTTCTCATCCTGCCAGTGCTTCTTTTGCATACGCATGAGGCATTTTCTTCTTCGTGGCTGCAGTATGAAACCAGCTCTCCTGAAGTCAGTCTTAGTTATCCGACCTGCGTCCAATGTGTTTCACTGATTTAGGCACTTCCACATTGTATCCTTTCATCCCGGCTTTTATCATGAGATATCATAACATCTCTAACTGGAGACCTAACTCCGAGAGAAGAGCTTATATGATTTGAATGCCTCACATGACGCAAACGATCTATACCCTCAATGGAAGTCCACTCCCTAATGTCTCCTCAGGGCGCGATCTCAGTTTAATAACCACAGAAAGCCTCCATACGAGTCCGAACTATGTAGGGGACGCAACCAGGGCAAATGCGACTCTTCACTTTATGCGAAGGAAACTTGGTGCTATCACCCCGAAATTATTTTTGACACTATTTAAGACGTATGAGCGCCCACACTTGTAAGTTCAAAACGTCATTGCACCCCCTCTGCTTAAAAGAGACATAAATCTCCTGGATCGAGTGCACAGACGAGCAACCAAATGGGTGATGGGGTTGAAAAATAAACCTTACGACGATTGACTTCAGCTCTTGAGATTATTTTCACTGAGCAACAGGAGAATCAGAGGTGATCTGATTATGCTGTCCAAGCCGAGGTGACCACACCCCCCAGTGGACTGCTTTAAGAAGAAACTTGATAATCACTTACTCGCATGCGGACTATCATCTCCCTCTTGGACAAGCTGTTCATGATGCATATCTCGAGACCTGCTAATTGTTATCATTGGCATCTGCTCAGATCCCTTACTTCATCTATCTCGCATCTCATCTCTGCTCCCCACTTGCTTACAATACGGTCCTCTCTCACAATCCTCATAACCAATTAACAAACTAAATTCATCTATATATTACTCAGTTCTGAAATTTCATCCATATTATCATTATAATTTTATCCTTATTATCATTATTACTCTCCACATCGTAACTAACTGATCTCCACTCTGGTAATGTGATAGCTGCTGGTATCCAGAAACTCTGCTGCCTAGAAACAAACGTTTTCATTCAAATCCCGAGACATGCAAACTCACAACCAGCTGTCAATTGACAAGAATTAGACAATCGAGTGGCTAGACCTCCATCTATTGGACATTACCGAACACCTGGAACCGTACCGAAAGAACAAGAATCGTGAGCAGAGAAATCATTGAGTTTACAATAGCTCGTGAAAAATATATTGGATATTGGATATTGAATGAGTGATTTTTATGGTGAGCGTTTTTAGCGAGTTAATTCCCTTTCGGGATGGATATTTAACCCTGTGCCCAACCATCCTGCTTTATCCTGGCATGGGACAGGTAATAGCCTCAGAGGAGCTCAAGACGGAGTTGGAAACCCTACTGCTCTGTAACATATGTACTCATTCAAATCGCGGTACATAAAAGTTCAGAAAAACAGCTAAATGACTAGAATAAGTGTAGCCTTAGGTCACTCATTTAATCTGTCTCGCTTATCATCTATGCCTCCTTTCTCCTGCTAACACTTCGGTCCTCTCACACAACCTTCGCTACCAATACTTCGTTCTGAAAATATACTCCTATTAGCATTAGGATTCTCTCCTTATTATTCTACACATCAAGAATAATCTGGTCTTGTAATAGATGAAACCCTACTGCCCTAAAACAAACATGTTCAATCAAATCATGGACATACAACCTAAGAATCAACTGACTAGAATTAGTGCAGTCAAGGGTTTAGACATCCATCCATGGGAAATTACTAGACACCTGGAATCGTACCAAAAGAACTATGATTGGGTGCAAAGAAAGCAACTGGTTTATACTAACTCGTGAAAAAAATATTGAAGGCATTTTATACTGTGAAAATGACATTGGATATTGTACGCGCTGGCAATAAAAAGCTTATCTGTTATCACTTCACGCAAATATTTAAAGTGTCTATATTAGTGAATGGAATGATTCGCTATATTCAGAACTCACAAAATCGAAGAAAATCATCTTTTTTCACGTGAATAACAGACGTTTTTTGAACAAAATACAGATTTCTGGAACCGTACTGAAACAACGAGCGAGTGTAACAAAATCAATAGGCTTGTAAGAGCTTGTGAATAAGAAATTTGATATTGGATACCAGAAAAAGCCGTACCTGGATCTATGGATAGAGCTGTAGATGCCAGGAATATAGCCATTAGAGTTATTGACCATATGCTGAAAATCCCTTCAAATCAAGGATATGGTTCAAATGAGTTCAAATCAATCATTGATTTTTTTGAAAGTAGCTTTTTCGCCATCGAAAGTCCTGAAAATATAGTATCAGATTACCGACTGTGGATAGCTTCGAATGTGCTATCAAACGGAGAACATCCAGAGCGTCTTACTAGAATATTTACTGACTTGGGAAAATATGCTTTCAATACTGAAAACAAACCCTACAACGAATATTACATTGAACTGCTATTATCTTTTCAGTTAACTTTGTGCAATTACCTTGGCACAAGTGAATTATTAGCAGAAAAAATGTCCATGCAAGATGCTTATTTGAAAGAAATTTACCGAATTCATCAAGCTATACTCCCATACGACGTAATTTATGATGACGGAAAAGTAAGAATTATAATTTAAGTTTAAACTCATATTATTCATTAGAAAATCACATTTGTAGCAGAAATAATTATAAAAACTCTCTATAACATGCTACAACATGAGAATACATCTATATGTTCTGCTCTCAACAAAAATAATCTCATCAATATGATTACATATTATGCAAAATCTAAGAATACTAATTTGCAGGTAGGATCGAATGAATAAAATCACATTTCTTTTTAGACAGCGGCCTATTTAAGCTTTGCTTATATTAACAATGAAGAAACTCTATTAACTCCAGAAGAAACTGATAGTATAAAAGTTTTGTTGAATATACTCACTTCTACTCTTAAAAATCCTTCAACAAGAGTAAACGGTTACAGTTGTGAAGAAATTTTAAAAGGTTAGTTTCGTTTGCCTAATTCATTTGTTTATATTTCTTCGTTTTGCTTATAATTTCGAAAATTCAATCTGATATTATCGATGGATTTACCCACCTAAATATCTATGTCTATCTGTGAAAACTATTGATTTTGTAATTGCATCATATATTATATCGTATCAAGATTCCTAACCATTGGTTTTTCAAAAAGGGTAGTTAAAACTAACTAGAATGTTAAGAGCTGTTTTCGTGGAATACTTATTCTCAGTAGATATTTTAGCCAGCCAATCGATTTATTTGTATACTTAAGTTGAATAACTTGTTGTCAAGTTAAAATTTCTATAGGTTTAAAATGTGACACTGTTGTGTTCTTAACTGTTAACTAATACAACCAGTTAGAATACAATTCCGTGCTAGTAAGCTGTGGTCAGTAGCGAACTTTCTATTGGTCCACAGTTTTCTCCCACATTGCACCGTTGAGTGCACAAGTTCACGTACTATACTGTAGCATACTAGATTGTACCATACAAACCATATATCTCATACATACTTGGATTACATGCAGACAAACATGACCCAAATCCCATCACAAATGAAAAATAGTAATTATACATGTATGAGCTAAGTAGTGAATGCAAATATGAGATACAATAAGTCATAAACTAGCAATATAATCAGAACAGCAAATTGTATGATTATAACTTATGGGTTAATAGAAAGCTTTTGATAAACAGAATATAAAAACTTGATAATTAACTTACCTAATAATCACATACAATAAGACTGCATATATCAATAATCTACAGATTAGTTCTGATAATAACCATCCTTTCAGTTTCGGTTTTGATGTAGTGGGTATTCTGTGGCTGCGATTTCCATCGATGTGTTTTTTCAATGGAACTCTGTTCACAGATCTATTATTTCACTGTTCTCTGTTATGTGGTTAATATTTGTTTGAAAGAATTCCGATATGTTGTTCAGTAATAACTTTAATGAATATCACAAATTGATAAACTATTCTAACATAGAATAGGATATAAGAGGACTTTAAAAAGCGGTAGCTTAAAAAAGATGACACTAGAACTCAGCTACCCGTTATACAAGTAGTATGATAATTCCTAAATACTAAGGCTAACTTAGATCAATTTAGATTTTCACATCTTTGATCCCTCTTCGGGAAATTCGCTCATTTTGATAACACTGTTTTATCAACTGGTAGTTACAGTAGTTTTTCATCAGAAGAACGATGATAACCTTCATTTTTGGTTAGATCAAATGCATCAGATTTTAAACTTTACAGAGTCTACCTTTGACAACTGGTTGTGCTTTATCTCACTGAATTTTGATTCTGGATCCAACTGTCATCTTTTACTCTTTTTCTACGCCCTAATGTCATTAAGAACACAACCACTGAGATGCAGATTGCATTAAGTTGATGAATCACAAGTAAGATAAATAAAGACAACCTAGATTGTGCTGTTAGCAACAATTCATCTTGTTCTGAAACAAAAGTCAGTTTTTTAAACTAATACACTCAAAGCGTTGACTTGTAAAGACATTTCATGATAGACTGGTATTAAAAACTAACAATTTTCATGATAAACAATCCTTGATTTATCATTTCTTTCGCAAAAGGTCTAAATTACTCAACTGTTTTTTGAAGAAGGTCATCAGATCAATTGTAGTATAAATTTATATTTTTGTAGCAGGATTCATGGAAAACCCCTTAGAAGAACAAGCTGATGCCTATAGTAAATATTTTTCACTTAACTATACATTTTAGGCATTGTTACAAAACATAGACAGCTTAAATGTGTATAATTGAATTCGTTTATTTTGTGATTTTTTTTCCTTACAGGTTTAAGACTTTTAGCATCTTCTGATAAAAACAGAGAGTTCATATGTCATTCCACGTTGCTACAAAGTATTCATTGTACTATCAAAACACTGGAAGGAAAGGCATTAGAAGAAGTGATACTTCTTCTGTTGAAGTTAACATTCAATCCTGAAATGAGAAATAAAATAAGAAGAGAATTTGGAAGTATATTCAAAGATCTTGAAATAGTTTACAGAAAAAAAGAATCTAAAGTCTCTAACAACAACATACAGACAGTACTTTATCGGATTTTATGGCAGATAAATGAAGGTTAGTAAGTGTGACTATATAGAAGGTGATTATATGTTAAACTATCGTGGAATGAAAATGTTAGTTACCCTAATTCATCGAAACATTCACAACTCTAACCACAGGAAGACTGAATCTAGAATATTTAATCCTGTCCGGAGAACAATCAAGTAGGATTTTGTCTTGTAAACTGATTAACTTTTTAATCAGTAGTTCAGAAACTACTGGGTCAGATAATTCACCATTCAAAAACTTTAATTTTAAGGTTTCATTCGTAAATAAAATCACAAAAAGTCGATAAACAAAATAGATGAAGTAGTGAAACTTCATCAGTCGAGGTGGTTGGGACATGTGTTACGTATGGCTAACCACCGACTGCCTCAATGAGTGATGTTTTGTGGTGTAGGAATAGGTTGGAAGAAAGCTAGGGCCAGCCAGACCAAAACATGACAGAAATCCATGAAGTCACTGACAAGTGGACTGAGTCATGTTGGTAGATGTAGACTACCTGGTTGGGGTCAGATTTGACATTTGAGTCTCTGTGCTCATGTGTTATGGCAACATGAACTTAGGTACACACGTACGAAGTTCTACATTGCAACTGACTGACTGATAAACAAAAATTATTCTACACTAAAATGAATTCTCCTTTAAAAATTTCCAAAATAACTATTTGAATGTAACATATTGAAATAAATATATTCAAAATTTTTTTATCTTTTTTGCGGAATGTTACGACAAAAAATAATGTAATTTCATGAACTAGACAATTTGTACTATGATTCACTTGGTATAAAACTTATAATATTTTGAGGCAGAGTTTTGGAGGTTTGTGTTTTTACACATTTGAAATTATCAATCAATCATTGTTAGACAGAGCACCATTAGAAACCTGGAAGTACTGGACGGCCGTTTCGTCCTGGTATGGGACTACTCATCAGCAGTGCGCATCCACGACTCCTGCACCTCGCAGGACTCGAACCCGGCACCTTCGGCATTGTGGGCGAACGCCTTAACATCGGACCACTGGGCCGGCTGAATTCCAACGGTGTTAATGTCTAACTGTGATTGATCTAGGGATTTTGCGCGACCTCATATTGCATATTGCATATTGCATATTTGTGTATTTCGATTTTTGTGTTTAACTGTCTGTTTCTTTTTTAAAAAAACATCTAGATCATACTTCAATCGATTATGAATCGAAATTAAATCATCCCATTCAACTTGAACATGTTATGATAAGTTATAGTCATAAACAAAAAGAAATGACCATGAAACTTGTTCAACATTTAAAAGATAAAGGATATAAGGTAAATGTAAAATTGAAAGTTTTCAAAAAAAAACAAATTCTTAATTATCAATTTCAAATTAACAATTTACTCTTTTATTTGTAACCATGAATCAATCAATGTTAGACTAAAACCATGAGAAACCTGGAAGCACTGAAAGACGGCCGTTTCGTCCTGGTATGGGACTAGCTTGGTTTAGGAATCTTCTCCGAGTTCTACTGGGAAGTCGTGACCAGTGAAGTTCAAACCTGTTCGGATGTATACAGGGTATGAGGTTGCGCAACTTTGTGAATTTGATCAAGTTAGACATTAACACCGTTAGGTACCGGCTCAGTGGTCTAACGGTTAAGGCGTTCGCGCACAATACCAAGGGTCCTGGTTTCAAATCCTGTGGATGCGCACTGTCACTGATGAGTCCCATACCAGGACGAAACGGTCGTCTTTCAGTGCTTCCAGGTTTCTAATGATGGTCTAACATTGATCGATTCATGGTTACAAATCAAACTTAACAATCGTCACAACAACCCCGCAATACAATTTACTCTTTATTCAATCGTTTAATAAAAATTTCAAATGTCATCAAATTAACCCATGATGTGCGTGTGTGTGTGTGTGAGTGTGTAGGTGTTCATCAACACATTTTACAGAGAAGGAAGTTAATCAGAATGACTTATATACTGATGTCAGTAATTCTTAATTAAAAAATTAATATAATTTGGTTATTTATATGATGTGTAGTTGCTGGATTCATGAATCAGTAAGTATTCTAGAGGTTAGGCGTTCTCCGGAAAGACCGAAGGTGCTGAGTTCAAATCCTGTGTGTAGCAGGAGTATGTAAATGCGCAATGCCATTGATGAGTCCGATACTAACTAATAAACGGGGAGAAGTATCTTATGACTATCCTCCAAAAGAATGACTATCCACGCAAGTTTATCATGAAACATAAATTGAAATCGTTAACAGAAGCGAACTCAAGTGCTGGAACCCAAAAAACGGATCATTCTACTATATATATATATATATATATATAAATGACAGCGTAAATTACAGCACGACTATTGCTCAAATTGCCAAAAACTCTACTTAGGACAAAGTGAACATCGTCTTCAGTTTCGTTTTTACGTGAACACTAATTAACAGTCACACGCCATGACAATTCTTCAAATATATAAATACATACGGACAATTATGGACATACTACATTTGATTGGAACAATGTGAAAATAATGGATAGAGGAAGGACAAAGAATATTGGATAATTTATTAGAAGCTTAGCACAGTCAGCTCAATCAGCACCCAATAAAACACATCGACATTGACCGAATTTATCAGCCAATCAGCAAAATCATTGACAAGCTTCAGAGATCCAGAACCAAATTAAAAATAAAGGTGTCAAACAACGACAAGTTTAAGGTCGATGGCGACTAACCAAGATCAAGGTCAACAGAACAAGTTACGGGTCAAACGTGAAGGAATCCGAATACTTCACTTCTAAATGAAGTTCGGGCAGATGATGTTGGTGTTCAGAAGAACAATGAATTCTCGACAGCCTAAACATCCAGTTCAGAGAGCGAAACATCACAGCAGTCCGATACTAGGACGAAACGGCCATCTTTCAGTGCTACCAGGTTTCTGAAGATTCGGTCTGACACTATTTCATTCGTAATTTCAAGGCAAATCAAGTAAATGAATGATAGATATATAAACATCTTATGTTTAATGAAAGAAGACAGGATTCTTGCATTTTATTAGGTATTGAATACTCTGTAAACTGTTAAGTCAATATATTTTAACATTTGAAATCATTATTCAATCATTGTTAGACTACACCATCAGAAACCTGGAAGTACTGGACGGACGCTTTATCCTGGTATGGGACTCATCAAAGGCAGTGCGCATCCACGACTCCTGCACCTAGCATGACTCGAACCTGGGACCTTCGGTATTGTGCGCGAACGCCTAACCATCGGACTACTGGGTCGGCATCCAACGGTGTTATTGTCTAACTGTGATTGATCTAGGGATTTTGCGCGACCTCACTCATTTGTCCTTGATTGTAGTTACTGCCTACACCTGACAGGGTGTAATTACACAAACCTCCAAAACTCTGCCCGAAAATATCGTAACAGTGCTCAATAGTGACTAGACTCGTGAGGAAATTCTCGGAGTTCTTCTAGTGAGAAGACGTGACCGATGGAGTTTAAGCCTGTCGGGTGTTGGATGCCGGCCCACTGGTCCGATGGTTAGGCGTTCGCGCACAGTACCGAATGTCCCGGGTTCGAATCCTGCGAGTAGCAGGATTCGTGGATGCGCACTGCCTTTGATGAGTCCCATACCAGGATAAAGCGGCCATGCAGTGCTCCCAGTTTTCTAATGGTGTAGTCTAACAATGATTGACTGATGATTTCAAATGTATAAAAACACAAACCTCCAAAACTCTTCCCGAAAATATATTTTCAATTATAAATAGGATAGGAAGTAATCGAAGTTCAATTACCTTGAGAATAGTAATCATTATGAATTGAAAGTCGAAATCAATGTTCAATTTGAGATTCAATAACAGTAAGAATACAGTCGAACACATTTCCTTCTGGTTTCATTAGGCAAAACATCAATTTCAGAACAACTGAACTAAATTCATCAATTATAATTCCTGTCAATTCATAATATCCAAAGATTTATATGTATATAAATATATGCTTGTAGCATATTCAAACTGTTAATCGATACAGCTAGTCAAATATCTATGTGTAGGTGGCAAGTAATGCCCAAGCGTACATGCGCATACAAGCTCAACAATGATAAAAGTACAAAATATTATATGTGAGATGCTACATGCTATTCTACTTTAAACATTTATTCGCTATGTATAGAGCATTAATGTGAAAATTCTTCCTTCAAAACGTATTTACATACTTTCTTACTTTCGCCAGTTACTCTCAATGGAGCACAGGCTGAGGACAAGCATTGTCCAACCCCCCTCTGTCCTCCAGCTTCCTTTCCAGTTCTTTACAATTTCCGTTCTTTCCTCTCAGATCTTTCTCTATTTCTTGGCCTTCCTCTTTTGTTTTTACCTTGAGGGTTCCATGTGATGGCTTGTCTTGTAACGCGGTTGGATCCTTACGCCGTGTATGTCCTATCTACTTTCACCGCTTCTTCTTGATTTCCTCCTTCATTGGAAACTGTTTTGTTCTCTCCCGCAGTCGGTTGTTGCTGATAGTGTCTGGACAAAGGATCCAAAGTATTTTGCGAAGACAACTGTTCATAAATACTTGTCTCTTCTGGAAGATGACTTTCGTAGTTCTCCATGTTTCCGCTCCATACAGTAGAACTGTCTTGACATTTGTATTGAAAATCCTGATTTTAGTTTTGGTTGACATTTGTTTGGAGTTCCAGATATTTTTCAACTGTAGAAATGCAGTCCTTGCTTTGCCGGTTCACCTTGATTGTCTGTGGTGCTGCCCAGATATGTAAAGGTGTTAACGTCCTCCAAAGCATCTTCATCAAGAGTGATTTGGTTGGTGCATGTTGTGTTGCATCGGAGAATTTCGTTTTTTCCTTTATGTATGTTGAGAGCTACTGCTGCTGAGGCTGCTGCTACACTGGTGGTCTTCTCTTGCATTTGTTGTTCCATGTGCGATAGAAGAACCAGCTGCATCCCAGTAATCCACTGTATTCCATGCCTCTTCCCCGATGTTAATGTCTTCATAATCCAGTCAATCACAGGGAGAAAGATACAGGTCGAGTGTGAGAAACCTTGCTTTACACCGGTCTTCACCTCGAACTAGTTTGTCAGCTGACCTCTATGCCCAAATTTGCAGTTTAATCCATCATAAGAATTCCGTATTATTTGACTCTCTTCTCAGGCACGCAGTGGTTTCCAAAAAGCTTTCATAGTGTTGTCCTGTCCAGGCTATCAAATGCTTTTTCACAGTCAATGAAAGTTATTTCCATTGGTGAATTCCATTCAATTGATTGTTCTTTAATGATACGTAAAGTTGCAATTTGGTCGGTATACGACCGATCCTTACGGAATCCATCCTGTTGATCTGAAAGTTGAACGCCTAAAAAGTTCTTCATTCTGTTTAACAAAACCCTGTTTAAAACTTTACCTCGTAGTGATAGAAGATTGATACCTCTGTAGTTCTCACACCCACTGATATCGCCTAACCAAAATGTGTATATAACAGAAATTCCTTAACTGTTAAACGATTCATGAACTATTTACTACAATTTCATATAATTCAAGTTGACAAATACTTACTTACTTACTTACTTAACTCCGCCAGTAGAACCTTAGGGGCTACTGCCGGTCCCAAGCCCGGATAAAGGAGGAGGGTTGGACATGGGGTTGGCGGCCCCATTCCGTTGAAATCTAACTTGCCAAAAAAACGCTAACCAGAAAAAATAATTCAAACCATTTTAACTCTGCCCTGGGAGTTGGAAGAAGAATTATGACGTCTCGTGATGAAAGCCGAGTCCCCTCGGAAGTCACGGGGCCGATGCCTCTTCTGACAACTAGAGCAACCATTTTTTTAGGTACATGGAACGTTCGTACATTGTGGGAGACTGGAAGACTATTTCAAGTTGCGGCAGAAATGAAAAGATACAACCTCGAGGTGCTCGGCATCAGTGAAACACATTGGACACAGGTAGGACAACTGAGACTTGCTTCAGGGGAACTGCTGTTATACTCTGGTCATGAAGAGGAAAACGCTTCACATACACAAGGAGTTGCACTGATGCTGTCCAAACATGCACAAAACGCACTGATAGGATGGGAATCTCATGGACCCAGGATCATTAAAGCATCCTTCAAAACAAAGAAACAGGACATTACAATGAACGTCATCCAATGTTATGCACCTACCAATGACTACAATGACGACGTTAAAGATCAATTCTACGAAAGGCTGCAGTCAGTCGTCGATAAATGTTCACCAAAGGATTTGACGATTCTTATGGGAGACCTGAATGCCAAGGTTGGAATGGACAACACTGGATATGAAGACATCATGGGACGACATGGACTGGGAGAAAGGAACGAAAACGGTGAGAGATTTGCAAACCTATGTGCCTTCAACAAACTGGTCATCGGTGGCACAATATTCCCGCACAAACGCATTCACAAAGCCACATGGATTTCACCGGACCACACTACTCAGAACCAAATTGACCATATCTGTATCAACAAAAAGTTCAGAAGGACCATGGAGGATGTGAGAACCAAGAGAGGAGCTGATATAGCTTCAGATCACCACTTGCTGATCGCCAAAATGAGATTGAAGCTAAAGAAGCACTGGACAGCGGGGCAGACAACATCAAAGAAGTTTAATACGGCCTTTCTTCGGGATACCGTAAAACTCAACGAATTCAAGATAGCCCTCACCAATAGGTTCCAGGCCTTTCAGGATCTACTCAATGGAGAGGACGCAACATTGGAGAACAATTGGAAAGGGATTAAGGAGGCAATCACTTCAACATGTCAGGAGGTCCTTGGTCGCAAGAAGCACCATCACAAGGAATGGATCTCTGTTGGTACTCTTGAAAAAATTCAAGAAAGGAGGAGCAAGAAGGCATCAGTGAATGTCAGCCGAACAAGAGCAGAGAAAGTTAAGGCGCAAGCCGAGTATACAGAAGCAAACAGGGAAGTGAAGAAGAGCATCAGAGCTGACAAACGAAAATATGTGGAAGATCTAGCAATGACGGCGGAAAAGGCTGCAAGAGAAGGAAACTTGAGACAATTGTACGAAACTACAAAGAAGCTCGCCGGAAACTATCGTAAACCAGAACGACCAGTGAAAAGCAAGGAAGGGAAAATAATCAGCAACACTGACGAACAGCGAAATAGGTGGGTGGAGCACTTTAAGGAACTATTGAATCGACCAGCTCCACTGAACCCACCCAACATCCAAGCAGCATCCACGGACCTCCCAATTAATATTGGCGCACCTACGATTGAGGAGATCAGTATAGCCATCAGACAAATCAAGAGCGGCAAAGCAGCAGGACCAGACAACATTCCAGCAGAGGCAATGAAAGCAGATGTGGAAGCAACTGCGAAAATATTTCACATCCTCTTCAAGAAGATTTGGGATGAGGAACAAGTACCATCAGATTGGAAAGAAGGATACCTCATCAAAATACCAAAGAAAGGCGATCTCAGCAAGTGTGAAAACTACAGAGGCATCACTCTTCTTTCAATACCAGGCAAAGTCTTCAACAGAGTATTGTTAAACAGAATGAAGGACTTCGTAGACGCCCAACTTCGAGATCAACAGGCTGGATTTCGTAAGGATCGATCGTGTACTGACCAAATTGCTACATTACGGATCATTGTGGAACAATCAATTGAATGGAACTCACCACTCTACATCAACTTCATCGACTACGAGAAAGCATTCGATAGCGTGGATAGGAAAACACTGTGGAGGCTTCTTCGACACTACGGTGTGCCTGAGAAAATAGTCAACATCATACGGAATTCTTATGATGGATTCAACTGCAAAATCGTACACGGAGGTCAGCTGACAGACTCTTTTGAGGTGAAGACCGGTGTCAGGCAAGGATGCTTACTCTCACCCTTTCTCTTTCTCCTGGTCATCGACTGGATTATGAAGACGTCAACATCTGGAGGGAAGCACGGTATCAACTGGACAGTTAGGACGCAGCTGGACGATCTGGACTTCGCAGATGACCTGGCTCTTCTATCGCACACTCAACAACAAATGCAAGAGAAGACGACCAGTGTAGCAGCAGCCTCTGCAGCAGTAGGTCTCAACATACATAAAGGAAAAAGCAAAATTCTCCGATGCAACACAACATGCACCAACCGAATCACGCTTGATGGAGATACCTTGGAGGACGTTAACACCTTCACATATCTTGGCAGCATCATCGACGAGAAAGGTGGATCGGACGCAGATGTGAGGGCGCGGATTGGCAAAGCAAGGGCTGCATTTCTACAGTTGAAAAATATCTGGAACTCCAAACAACTTTCAAACAAAACCAAAATCAGGATCTTCAATACAAATGTCAAGACAGTTCTACTGTATGGAGCGGAAACATGGAGAACTACCAAAGCCATCATCCAGAAGATACAAGTGTTTATTAACAGTTGTCTTCGTAAACAAATACTTCGTATTCGTTTACCAGATACCATCAGCAACAACGAACTGTGGGAGAGAACAAGTCAGATTCCAATGGAGGAGGAAATCAGGAAGAAGCGGTGGAAGTGGATAGGACATACACTACGAAAAGCACCCAACTGCGTCACTAGACAAGCCCTCACATGGAACCCTCAAGGCAAAAGGAAAAGAGGAAGGCCAAGGAACACACTACGCCGAGAAATAGAGAAAGATATGAGAGGAATGAACAAACATTGGACAGAACTGGAAAGGGAAGCCCAGGACAGAGTTGGTTGGAGAAAACTGGTGGTCGGCCTATGCTCCATTGGGGGTAACAGGCGAAAGTAAAAAAAAACTTACTTACTTACTTACTTACTTACTTACTTACTTACTTACTTACTTACTTACTTACTTACTTACTTACTTACTTACTTACTTACCTACTTACTTACTTAGTTACTTGCTTACCTACTTACTAACTTACTTACTTACCACTACTAAAAGTAAATCATTATTTATTATTGTCATTATTTCAATAATATATTTAATAATAATTATATTATTTGTTTTAATTATCATTATTATTATTATTATTATTAGGTATGGTTTGATTTAAATAATATGAAATATACTGATAATACATTTAAATGTTTAGCTGAAGCAATTGAAAAATCTTATGTTGTATGTATTATTTACTCGGAAAATTATAAACATAGTGAATATGCTGAAATGGGTAAGTAAGTAAGTAAGTATAACAATTTAAGTAGTATTATAATTTTAAAAAATTCACATAGATTGATTGTGTAATAATTTGATTGTTGAAAGTGTTTTTAACTGTGAAGTGAGTACGTTTTGGCCGTTCTTACTGTTCGGCAACATTAGATCCCTAGAATTCACTTGATAAATGCCTTAATTTTTGGATTTTATGTTTCCCACCATGGGCTGATTAGTTAGTTGATCTTGTGATTACATTTCCCATCAGGAAGATCCTTAGCTGTGATTGGTTGATGTGTTATTTAAATGTGCTATTTTTGTGACTCTCCGAAGGACGTTTCTATAATGTATAAATAAATGCGATTTGTGTACTGGCTGGGTGTGTTTTCAGAATACACTTTCTACTCTACTATATCAACACTTCTCTTTAGGTCTTTTGGGTTAAACGATCAGAGTAGCCTATCTGAACGCTAGTTCATTGTCTCGTTCTCATTTATTGACTAAGGTGAACTTGTAATAGTTTCAAGTATACTTAGTGACGTAACATAACACTCATATAGAATTACATAGAAAAACTGTTAAATATGAGATTGAATATTTTGCATGATAGAGTTGTGAAGTGGTAGACCCCCATTCGAAACTTGGAAACAAGGAACTGTCGTTTCGTCCTATTATGTGACTCATCAATGGCAGTGCATATATCCACCACTCCTTCACCTCCCGGGAATCGAACTCAGAACCACTGAGCCAGTATCTAACGGGTGTTAATTTCTAACTCTGATCAATTCACGATCTTGAGCAAACCTCATTACTAGCATTTATTCAAATAATCAATGACAGATTGAAAGTCAATGCATATAATTGAATTTACATTGTCTGTAATAGCCTTGACCTTCTTGTCTCTTCAAATTCTCAGCTCATAATACAACTCTTGTTTCATTAAAAAGTCATCGAAAATTTTTTTTTTCAGTATTTAATAAATCTCATTAACAAATCTCATTATGAATACAGATAATATCATTTAGCACAGTAATTAATTTGAATTGAAGATTTCAAATTTATTAATTAGTTAGTTAGTTAGTTAGTACAAATGAAGAATGTATTTGCTTGCGTACGTACGTAATATACAAATCGAATAATTTTGTTAATTAGTTTTTTTTTACAACAAAATTGTTGTACAATTTTGAATTTATGTTAAAAAAATCATATGAATGGTATTGTTGTTGAGTTCGACAGTATACAATCTTTTTCACTGTTTGTCCCGGTGAGTTACTCTGATTTATCAGTAATTATATTCTAAAGGTGCTAGTCTAACAATGATTGATTGATTGATGATTTCAAATGTGTAAAAACATAAATCTGCAAAGCTCTAACTGAAATTATAGTATCAGTGATCACTAGTGACTAACTTCGTGAGGAAATTCTCGGAGTTTGTTCTAGTGAGAAGACATGACCAATGGAGTTCAACCCTGTCCGGTGTAGGCAGTAACTGCAATCAAAGACAAATGAGTGAGGTCACGCAAAATCCGTAGATTAATCACAGTTAGATATTAACACCGTTGGATGCCGATCAAATGGTCCGATGGTTAGGCGTTCGCGCACAATACCGAAGATCCCAGGTTCGAGTCATGCGAGGTGCAGGAGTCGTGGATGCGCACTGCTGATAAGTCCCATACCAGGACGATAAGGCTGTCCAGTGCTTCCAGGTTTCTAATGGTGGTCTAACATTGATTGATCGATGATTTCAAATGTGTAAAAACACAAATCTACAAAGCTCTTATTGAAAAAATCTAACTTTAGTTAGATCCGATAATTCATCAAACATATCTCATAATTTCAAACCATGAATCGATCAATGTTATACCACCATTAGAAACCTGGAATCACTTCACGGCCGTTTCGTTCTGTTATCGGACTTATCAACAACGCGCATCCTCGACTCCTGCATCTCGTAGGATTCGAACCGAAGACCTTCGGTCTTGTGCGCGAACACCTAATCTCCGGACATTTAAGTCAGCCAGTATCCAATGGTGTTAATATCTATCTTCCATCATTTCACGGAGTTTCCCAACCTCATACACAGTCTTCAGTAGTTACTGTCTACTTCCGGACAGCTTGAATTTCACTAGTCACGACTTCCCACTAGAACTCGGAGAAGATTACTAATGAAGCTAGTCACTAGGGAGCACAGGTAATTGCATTACAGGTTTCAAATGTATAACTTAACAATCTTCACAACCACATAATTCAAAATCTCATAATATCAGCAATCTTTGAGTTTATTTTATTAAGAAATCACTTCACAAAAAATGTAGTTTTTTCTTAAAGTTTCTTGTTAGTTAAGTTCAATATCAAAAGATCGACTTTTTTAAGATCATTGAAAGAAGCATAAAGCGCTGAAGGCTCATTTTGCCCTAATGTAAGACAGATATTAATCAAACATTTACAACCTGATCAGAGATCAAACTTCAAGACCTTTCGATAGTACCTAATTAGTATCAGTTAACAAATGAATCAACTGATGAAATCATAATGAATATCGTCAATAATGTTTCGCAATCTGTTACGCATGCACGTTAACACGTTATTTGAGATGCTTGAGTTTACTGTATTCGGAAAACGAGAGCAATGATCGAGGACACGGCGACACAATATGCTACTCTAATCCGAGTGTCCTAACCCCCATATTGAGTGAAAATACGAAGACTTGATATGAGGTAGAACCTGCATTCTACAAGCATCCAAAAAGTACGAAGTCCGAGTCCAGAAGATAATCAGGATCCTGGACTAAGGATCTGGGTCCAGGTCATTAAACGTTACAGATAATACGTATTTATACAGTTAGATCAAATAGGAAACAACATTGAAGTCTGTAACATCCACAGTTAGGACGACCATAATATTGACCAATAAGAAATCGACCGATTGAATAAGACTTACGAAATTAATTCTTTTAGGATACTTGATGAATATCCGAACACAATCGAATTTATGCTAAAGCATAAATTTGAGTTACGAAAAGCAACTAACTGCATTACAAGACAAGCCTTCACTTGGACCTCTTAGGGCAAAAGGAAAAGTAGAAGGCTAAGGAACACATTACACCGAGAAATAGAGAAAGATATGAGAAGAATGAACAGCGATTGGACAGAATTGGAAAGGTAAGCCCAGGACAGAGTTGGTTGGAGAAAACTGGTCGACCATTTCATTGAAATGGTATAAATCAATCATTGTTAGATCACTATTAGAAACCCACAAGTACTAGATGGCCGTTTCATTCTAGTATGGGACTACTCATCAGTGCCAGTGCGAATCCACGACTGCTGCTACTCACACACACTATTCGAACCCAGGACCTTGGTTCTTACTAGTGAACACTTAACTTTTGGGCTGGAATCTAATGGTGTCATTGTCTAACTTTGACCGATTGAACGATTTTGCGCAACCTCATTCATTTGTCTTCTGTAGTTACTGGTTACGCTGGACAAGGTTGAACTTCACTGGTTACATCTCACTTAAAGAACTCCGAGAATTTATGCTTAAGCATATACTTGGTAGTGCGCATCCACGGTTCCTGCTACTCATCAGATTCGAACCCAGGAATGTCACTCGTGTGCGCGAACGCTTATCCTCTGGACCTGTTATGTTCGTCACTTGATATACTTGAAACTATTATAAGTTCACATTAGTCGATAAACGAGAATGAGACAATGAATTAGTGACACGATAAGCTACTCTGATACGTTGCCCCAACAAACTGAAGAAAAACTCTTGATATAGTGTAGAAAGTGTATTCTACAAGCACCCGGCGAATACAATTATCTCAAGCACACAAATCGCGTTTATTTATGCATCATAGAAACATCCTCGGAAAAGTCACAAAAATAACGTACTAAAATAACACAGTAACCAATCACAGACAAGGATTTTCCTGGCGCGAAATGTGCTCACAAGTCAGGTGATCAGCCCATGCTCGGAAACATAAAATCCAAAATTAAGGCATTTATTACGTGAGTTCTGGGGATCTAACGTCCCCAACAAGACCATTAGGCCGGCATTCAACGGTGTTAATGCCTAACTCCGATCAATCAGTGGATTTTACGAAGCCTCATTTTTTGTATCCTGTAATTACTGTTTACACTCGGAAGGGTTGGACTCCACTGTTCATGTCTTCTCACTAGAATAACTTCAAGAATTTCCTCATGAAACAAGTCATTATTGAACACATTTTATCAAAAATATATAACATAAAACAACAAAATGAATGTTTTCCTTCGTACACAATTGAAAACTATTCATATTTTACTAACTTACTTACTTTCTTACTTACGCCTGTTACTCTTAATGGAGCATAGGCCGCTCACCAGTTTTCTTCAATTAACTCTGTCCCGGGCTTGCTTTTCAGTTCTTTCCAGTTTTTTGTTCATTCTTCTCATGTCTTTCTCATGTGTTCCTTGGTCTTCCTCTTTTCCTTTATCCTTGAGGATGCCAAGTGAAGGCTTGTCTTGTGACGCAGTTCAGTGATTTTTGCAGTGTATGTCCTATCCACTTTCACTGCTTCTTCCTGATTTCCTCATCCATTGGAATCTAGTTTGTTCTTTACCAAAGTAAGTTGTCTGGTCAACGAATCCTGAGTATTTTGCGTAGACAACTGTTCATATTCATATTTTACAGCAAATCAAACTATCTAAAAACATTTTTTTATATGTTCGATCAATAATAAATGTTTGTTTTGATTTTTTCTTTCTTCTAACCCATAAAAACTAGAAGCCACCTATGCACTCGATTTAAAAAAACCAATAATTTGTTTACGTGCACAACGTGATTATAAACCAAAAGGATGGTTAGGTTTTATCATTGCACGACAACAACATATTGATATATCTGGCAAATATCCATTTGAAGAATATTTCACTGCTTTATGTGGTAGAATTGATGAATACTTACAGAAAGCTAAAAGGTAAAAGTTGTTGTTGTTTATACATGAGATTTATTATTGATCAACAAATCGTTTCATTTTTTTCAATTAAGTTAGTTGTAAAAGAAAATAATAATTGCAATAACTGATGATCGTCAGACAGTCAGTCAGTCAGTCAGTTAGTCAGCTACAACGTAGAACTTCGTACGTGTACATAGATCAGTTTAAGTTTACCATAGGACACTAGCTAGGAGAGATCGAATTGTCATTTCAAATCTCTTAGTAGTGGAGACAGTAGAAGTATTAGCGATAATCGTAACGATTAGGTTTCGAAGGTATATTTCGAGAGGCGTATCCCTGCGAAATAAATTTAAAAAGAGAAAGATAGTGGTGGTGAGAAATTTAGGAGTGTAGGATTTGAGAGAACACAAAGAATGAATGCACTTGAGCTATTGCAAATAATTTTGAGCCTTGTCATTCAAAGTCTTTGACTATAGATTACGATTGTCTCGTGGACATCAACCTGGTAGTCTTAACCTACTAACATGGCTCAATGCACTTGTCAGCAACTTCATAGATTTGTGCTATGATTTGGTCTGGCTGCACCTAGCTTTCTACCAACTTACTCCTACATCGTATAACATAGCTCGACAAGGCAGTCGGTGGACGGGCATTAGTAACACATGTCTAAACCAGCTCAAATGATGAAAATCCACTACTCCGTCAACCCGTTTCCTGACGATAACATTGCTTACATGACTGTTCCAGGAGGTATGAGCGATGCTTTGAAGACACTGATGATAGAATACTCGAAACGTACGAATATCCTCAACTCTTACTGGCCATGTTTTACACCTATAGAGTATGATAAAGCGAAATGCTGCGCAATAAGCTCATCCTTTGGTTGGTAGATGGATATCTCGTCTGCGCCATAATTGACTCAAGTTGTCCAAAGCTAGTCGAGCCTTCTGTATCCGTACTGACATTGTGGAGTATTTAGAAAATTACACTGAAATAATCTACCAGCATGTTATTGTAATTCATAATATATAGAAAGACGTATAGCTGAGTGATCAAAAGCAGAATAATCTTCTATTCAATGGTACTTGCTTACTTACTCCTGTTACCCCTCCGACCAGTGAATTATTTTGTTCTGGTTAGCGATTTTATAGAGAGTTAGTTTTCTAAGGGATAGTGTCACTAAACCTACCCCCAACCATCCTCCTTTATCCAGGCTTGGGACCGGCTGTAACCGTAGAAGGTCTCTAGGTTGAGTTGTTCATTTCACTGCAGAAACATAATTAAAAGCAATGAGTACTGAATATTCACCTATTTTCATAATTTAAGAGACTATTTACATATACAAGTCAAGTAACTAACGGTGATTTGAATTCAAGACCTTAAGAATTTTTTTTTGTTTACAAAACACCATCAAGAAAAAATATTCAGGGACATGAAATTTATTTGATTATTTCACTAAACTTTATATTGATTTGTAACAAAACATGTTAATCAGTTGTAGTTCTTAATGTCACTACTGACAAGAAAATACAAACCTTTGTAGGTCAGTTCATATCTGTCAAACTTATAACTTAACAAATAATGTATTGAAGGTTTGAAACAAGTCTTACAAGATTCCCCAAATCTAAAGGGAGGCAAAGATATTGAAGTTGTGACCAGTGAAGTTCAACTTTGTCGGGCATAGGCAGTCACTACCCGAAAACAAACGGGTGAGGTGGCCAAAAATTCATAGATTGATTATGGTTAGGTAATGACACTGTTGGATGCCGACAGATGTTCGCACACAGGATCGAAGGTCCTGGTTTTGAATCCTGCAAGTTACAAGAGCCGTGGATGATGAGTTCCATACCAGGATGAAACAAGCGTCTTTCAATGCTTCCAGGTTTCCAAATAATGATCTAACAATGATCCATTGATTATTTCAACGTGTAGAAAAACACTGATCTCCATAACTCCAACTGAAAAAAGATATCAAGACATGTGAGATACCCATAATTGACGGTTAGTGAGCAGAACGAAGCATGTATTAACCATGACTTAACGTAGCTGAAAACCATGGGATCAAGTCTAAACACTGAGGTGATCTATTGAGCGTACGCATATATGTATCCAGAGAGACTAATTGTTTCAAGTCATCTTTATATACCTTTGAAATCATGAATCGATCAATGTTAGACCATCATTAAAAACTTGGAAGCACTGGACGTTCGTTTATTCCTGGTATGGGACTCATCAGCAGTGCACATTCACGACGCCTGCACCCCAGAGGATTCGAACCCAGGAACTTCAAGATTGCGCGTGAACGCCTAACCTCTAGACCATTTAGCCGGTATCCGACGGCGTTATTACCTAATATCGATCAGTTCAAGGCTTTGCGCAACCTCATACACAGTATTCGGTAGTTACTGTCTACACTAAATGGGGTTGAACTCCACTGGTCACGACTTCACACTAGAACTCGGAGAAGATTCCTTACGAAGCTAATCACTAATGAGCACAAGAAATTGCATTACGGGATTGTCAAATGTTCTGGGAATAGGTTGACAACAAGGAACGATTAAAATTACTGACAAAATAGAGTTGTAGCATGGAATCTATTTTCCCCCTGTCAAATGAACACTGTTAGGCGTTCGCGGGCAAGATTAAAGGTCCTGGGTTCCGATCATACGGGTAGTAGGGATCATGGAGGCGCACTGCTGATGAATCTCGCACCAGAACGAAACGGCCATCTAGTACTTCCCGGTTTCTAATGATGGTCTAACGTTGGTCGATTCATGATTTCAATTGTGTAACTGAACAATATTCACTACCCTGTAATTTATATATACAACATAAAAACATATGTAAACCTTTTCAAATAATAAATATCTTTTTATCAATGAATTCCTTAATGAGTGTGTTACGCCTGCACGTAAACACGTCAACTTGATATACTTGAACTACTACGTGTTTATTTAATCGGAAACGAGAGCGAGGATCCGGTGACACGAAATGTTACTCAAATCCGATCATTACAACCCAATATTTAGTTAAAATAAGAAGACATGATATGAAGTAGAACGTGTATTCTACAAGCATCCAGAAAGTATGAGGTCCGAATCCAGAAGAGAACCAGGATCCCGGACTAGGGATCCGGGACCGAGTCCTGGTCCTAGTCGTGGTCAATAAACGTTACAGATAATGCGTATTTATACATTGTGGTCGAATAGGAAACAGCATCGAATTCTGTGGCATTGACAGTTAAGACGACCAATAGGAAGTAACATTAGAAGTGACATTGATAGTCAGGACAACCAATAAGAAACAATATTGAAGTATTTGACTTTGACAGTTAAAACGACTATAATGTTGACCAATAGAAATCGACCAATAGGATTTGAGCAATAATCCTCTTATGATATTGGATGAATATCCTAACAGAGTGATATCTTTTTATTGATTTTAGGAATAATAGTTAATGCGATTTTTATGAAAATATGACCGACCGTTGTGCAACACATCGATTGAATTTACTTTAAAACCTAACTGACAAAGCTTGTATTACAGTTTTAAACAAATTTGATAAAGATTAACATATCTTCATCTGTTAAAAACAACACTGTAACTAACTTACATATTATACCTGTACATATTATCTGTACTGCATAGATTATCACAAGCTACAAGCAATTATAACATATATATATTGCAGATTTTCAATGTATATTATCAAGATACGTACAATATACTCTACCCATATTGAACAAGTTTTTATTGATAATAAACTAAATTTGAACGAATTTTTTTCATGATTACAGAGGTTTAAGGCGTTCGTGCACAATATCGAAGGTCATAGGTTCGAATCCTGCCAGGTGCAGGATTTGTGGATGCGCACTCCTACTGATGAGTAGTCTCATACACCAGGATGAAACGGCTGTCTTTTAGTGCTTCCAGGTTTCTAATGACGGCGGTGTCTAACAATGACTGATCGATGATTTCACAAGTGATAAAAGAATTTTTGAAGTGTCACGTTTTCACATGTTAAAACAAGCAGTAATTATATATATATATATATATATATATATATATATATATATATATATATATATATATATATATATATTGATCCCCTGTCGGTTATTTAATTAAAATTCTACAGTGCTTTCAACATAACCTTAATTTATATATCGATATTCGTTCGATTTCTCGTTTATTTCTATGTATGTTGTTGAGTTTAGTTAGGCTAACATATACAGGTTCCGTTTTTCTGGTTAGTGTCCTTTTTTGAGTGAGTTAGTTTTCTACAAGACAGGGTTGCTAACCTTAATGCCTAACCGTCCACCTTTATCCGGACTTGGGACAGGTAGTAGCTTCTGAGAGGCTTCAAGCAGAGTTAGAGGTTTAGTTATGTATAGTTACCTTAACTAGTTGAATGACTTAGATTTTTCAGGAAATAAGTTGACATCAGAAAATGATTAAAATTGCTGATACAATGTAGTTGTATTTTTGGACTAGTGGAGTTCAATCCCGCCGGGTGTAGGCAGTAACTAACTACCTGAAGACAAATAGGTGAGGTCATGCGAAATCCTTAGATTGATCAGAGTTATACAATAACATCCTTAGGCGCCGGCTGACTCAGTGGTCCAGAGATTAGACATTCATATGTGAGACTGATGCTTCCACGGTCCGAATCCTGCGAGTGGCAGGAGTCACAGTTTCAAATGATTACTCTGATTAATAATCAACTTTACAATCTTAAAAGGATATTACATAATATTCAAAAAGATTGATGAGAAATACAACAGGATGAAAGAAATTATTTTAATTGTCTGAAATAAATCATGATGTTTACTGTTGTTCGTAGTAGTAGTGTTGTGCTCGAGAACTCAGGTGAGGCCATCAACATATATATATTTAAGCGAATATTACAGAGTTGTTAAGCATATGTACAAAACCTTCCCGTGAAATCATCATTTGCAAACGAACCCTTATTTGTTTCAGATTTCAGTGTTTTTTTTCATTTAGACTGTTCAGACTTCATTTCACTTTACGTGACTTACAAATCGCCTTCTTTCTGTTCTCATTTTTTCCTTCTTGATCTTTTGCTGTCAGACCTTTGATTTTGGTTTGATATCATATACTACTTATGTGAACATAAGTAGCCGACACCATAGTAGGTCTTTCGAGTCTAATGTTCACTCAATTTGTGTGAAAAACTTTATAGGTACATCTAAAATCCAACTTTCAAATAATGTTTCATTTATATTTGATTTCTATTATTGTAAAAATATTCAAACTGTCTGCACCTTCGTTTTTCTTGAGTTTTTAAACAAATTTTTAAAGAATCATTGAACAGCCAATAGTGTCGTATATTATAGTTGTGTTGAAGTGTCTACTCTCGAAATGCCAGTTTATAAGGAAATAAATCCATGATTGAATGAATTTACATGTTGAAATCATCATCGCGGATGCTCACTACCACTGATGATGAATAGTTCCATATACCAGGATGAAACAGTCATCCCCTGTTCCTAGGTTTCTAATGGTTTATAGTAGTCTAACAACTTACTTACGCCTGTTACCCCAATGGAACATAGGCCGCCGATCAATTTTCTCCAACCAACTCTGTCCTGAGCTTCCCTTTGCAGTTCTGTCCAATTTTTGTTCATTCTTCTCATGTCTTTCTCGATTTCTCGGCGTAATGTATTCATTGGCCTTCCTCTTTTCCTTTTGCCTTAAGGGTTCCATGTAAGGGCTTGTCTTGTGACGCAGTTAGGTGCTTTTCTTAGTGTGTGCCCTATCCACTTCCACTGCTTCTTCCTGATTTCCTCCTCCACTGGAATCTGGTTTCTTCTCTCCCACAGTAAATTGTTGCTGATGGTGTCGGACCAACGAATACGAAGTATTTTGCGTAGACAACTGTTCATAAACACTTGTATCTTGTGGATGATGGCTTTGATAGTTCTCCAAGTTTCCGCTCCATACAATAGAACTGTTTTGACATTTGTATTGAAAATCTTGATTTTGGTTTTGGTTGAAAGTTATTTGTAGTTCCAGATATTTTTTCAACTGTAGAAATGCAACCCTTGCTTTGTCAATCCGCACCCTCATCACATCTGCATCGGATCCACCTTTCTCATCGATGATTCTGCCCAGCCAGATAAGTAGTCTAACAATGACTGGTGGAAAACCTTATCTTCATAAATCTAATTGAAACAAACAAATGTATACAGGTTTATTCAATTTTTCGGTAACTGATTTTTCCACATATATTTCTTAAAAATATATATATCTATAATATAATTAAAACAATTGAAAAAGAAAATTTAGACCAATTATTGAATATTGAACCACAATGTAACATGATTTTTGTTCAGTTTAGTTTGTTTTCTGACTGACTAACAGACATAACGATCCTTATTGATTACTTTTAATAATGAAATTTTCAGATCAATGTACAATGTAAAAAGAAAATTAACCAATAAGATTGTGTAAAATAGTAAGATGATATTTTTTATGTGTGATAATATTCGTTTTTTTTCAATAATGTAATCTATTGATCGATTCGAAAATATGTCACTGTTTTGTTTAAAAAAAAGAAAGGTTAATTTTCATTAAAAATGAAATTCTAGCAATTGTTTATAAGCTAACTTCGACTGGAGCTCGGGTTACTACTGCTTGTTCTTAGCCTGGCGGATAATGGTAGAGGGTTTGTGGTGACTAAATATCTGAGTGTTATTCTAAAGCTCGGTAATTAGTTCGCTCGTCTAGACAATCGTTACAAAGTAGCGTCTGACGGTTACAAAATCAGAAGATGAATTTGAAGTAATAAATACGTTTATTTGGGACACACCAAAAAGCGAAGCGGAGAAGCAATGTAGAGAAGGCTAATGAGCCAACTCCTTGGATTACAATCTGAACGGATGGGCAAAGGAAGCGATGTGGAGAATGGCTAACGAGCCAACTCAAAGAGATAGATCATGACTAAGAATATATATAAGGCAGACATGCAACAAACGAAATAGGTACACATGAATAGAAGTGACGAATGACTGACAAGGTCAAATGACAAGTGGGACATGTCATGTGAACTCATCATACAAACCAGACAATAATATAAGAACGAATGGTACAATGGTGCAATACAAATGACTTGGTTAAGTAAATTAGTCGAAAGGGCTTAACCAGGAAGTTAGATGCAAGCGAACTGAAATATATGTGGAGGCACTACAGGTTATACATAAGGCAATGGTGCCATCCCGTAGAAATCCGTCTTTCTAAATAATAAAGCTAACCAGGAAAATTATACGTTGGTCAGCGTCCTACGCTCCTTTAGGGGTAACAGACACAATTAAGTAAGTAAGTTTACTAACTGGTATATATTGTCTAAATTGTAAAAATGTTGTCAATAACTGAAACATTTCAGTTTTTTTGGGGTATACAGAATCAGAGGTTCAGTTCTTAATTCAAATTCTGTACATCAGACGTCGATGCACTTTGTGTAATTCAGTACCCTTCAAATATTCACGGTGCACATCCATGATTTGCAGTGCGCATCCATGACTCTTGAGAAAGTGATGACTTTAGATAATACTAATTCGTTGGAATCACGAACCTATTTCAAACCTGGATACCATAGATGACCATTTTATCTTAGGGTGGTAGCCCTGAGAAGTAAGCATGTATGACGCTGTATGAAGGTTTCTCACTAAGAACCATTGGTTTCGCTTATGGATGCTTTATGTCTCGTCTACTGAGTCTGCATCCAACGGTATTAATTTCTAACTACAATGGACGATCGTCAGCCATAATCTGTTTTAGAATCTTCAACGGTCTTAAGTGTAAAACTTCTTCCATCACAACAAAGTCGGCTGTACTGAAACACAATATTTACTTTGAATAGATTCTAATTTAGTTCAATATGTGATAGCTTAACTTTATAACGCCATCTGAAATGTCGACCGAACATATGCATGTGACTTCAATCAATCCAAAACTAGATGGTAAGACTATCAGCTTTCAATTTTTATTGGCCTTATATAAGATGACATAATTATATTTCAGTAACCAGAAGAAACATGTAAACAGTAATTTTATTTATCTGATAAAAATAATAATGACCATGTGACATAAACATATTAATGACAATAAGATGAAGTAGTGTGAGAGTAGTAGCAAGAGAGTAAATGATTTACAATAAGAAACCATAAAATAAAATCATGAAATTCAAATCTTAGAGACGTCAAGTATGCTTTTTAAACAGTGAATATTTTAAGTGAACCAGTTCTCAAATTCAAGTGAATCTGTTATAGAAGAATGTAGTTTCTATAGGATTGATGTTCATCATTTGAAATATTTAGAAAAACAAAGATAAATGTTTCTCTGATATCATTTTGTATATAAATACTGTTCATCATGAAAACCGGTAAAAATTTAACAGCGATAAATAAATCGCTGTAAAATTTGTTCTACTTTTAAATAATTAAGTAGTATAAATAATTATATTGAATTAAAAAATAAAATATAGGTTTTGAAGAGGAGCCAGAAACTTGACTATCATTGTCATTATTGTATTATCAAATTGTATTGATTATTCTGTACTCTTTTTTTGAACGATTCGTTCATGATAATAGTTTTACATTTGGTTTGGGAAGATTCACCTGTTGAACACATTCAAGGACTTTCTTTTGTATTCTATACAATGTAAAATGTAAATACAATTACAATGATTTAGTTTATCAATTAATCTATTAAAAAACATGAAATATTGTTACGCCAGCACGTAAACACGTCATTTTGATATACTTGAACTATTATGATTTTACCTAGTCAGAAAATGAGAGTGAGGATTGAGGATCCGTCGACACAATATGCTACTCTAATCCGAGTGTCTCAACAGCCATATTGAGTAAAAATAAGAAGACTTGATATGAAGTAGAACCTGTATTCTACAAGCATCCAGAATGTACGAGGTCCGAGTTCAGAGGAGAACCAGGATATCGGTTTAGGCATCCAGGACCGAGTGCTGATCATAGAACTTTACACATAATGCGTATTTAAACATTTAGGTTGAATAGGATACAGCATAGAAGTTTGTGACATTGACAGTTAAGACGACCAATAGGAAGTAACATTTGAAGTGACATTGATAGTCAGGGCAACTGATAAGAGACATTATTGGAGCACGTGACGCTGATATCTAGGACGACCATAAAATTGACCAGTAGGACTTAACCAATAGGAATTGACCAATAATTCTCTTAGGATATTGGATGAATATCCTAACAAATATACATATTTAGTTCATTGTAAATATGAATATACAAGTCAAAATGTGCAATTCTACATGTATTCCCTAACAATCTAACTATCACCATGTATTAGCTTAGAAAGATATTGAAACTGTATATTTATTTACACACGGAATAGTTGTATTAGATTTGATATAGGGCTCACCAATTTAAGTGGCCCATTGACTCCAATATTTATGAATGATTTTTATATGTGATAAAATAAATCTCTCCTTCAATTTTCGTATCACATACTTAGGCAATTCGTGTTTGTGCGATGGCTGTTTATGAGAAATCAGATATGAATTCAATTGTATAAGTTTATTTCATGTAAGATAGATTTTTGGAAGGCTTTGTTTGTGAAAATCTCTCCATGTTGTATACATTTGTCATTTGTCCTTATTGATCATTCCTTTAGTTGTACATTTTGTTGAGTCTGTTCAATTCCATTTTGAGATGATGATAATATTTGTAATTTATTATAGTTTCTATTTCTTATGCCTTCATTGAGTTTCTACTGTTTCTTTCTGAACTGTATTTATGTTGTTTAAGCTGATAATTAGTCATGGCGACAGCCATATTGATTTGTGTCTCTTTTGATTGCGTCGGTTGCATTGACTGGAATTGTGCGTTTTGATTGTGAATTGATACACTATTCCAGAAGTGGAAACACTCTTTTATATAAAGCAACCAAATGTTATCTTTCGAAGGAATCTGATCTATCCAGGAGGAATAAAAAATCATTTATTTGTTGCTGTTGATCTAAATAATTGAACAACTGTCGGTGGAATAACTGAGTGGTAATATTTGTTTAGGTAATGATGTAGATGTTAATATTTATGATGACTATTAGAACTGTCATTTACCCAAATCACTTTGTTTTGGATTTCAACTAGGTAATAGCGCGTATCTAAACTACCTAGACAGTTGTTATTCCACATTGCAAACCTCAGTTTGGGTCCTACATTTCAAACGATCATTCATGCATTTATTTAGGTAGACAGACATGAGGATGAAAAGTTTACAAGCACAGCGAAATGAAGCGGAAAAGGTAAATGAGCCAACTCTATGTGACGAGCTATGACTAAGCATCTCTAATTAGACATGTGATAACCAAAAGTAAACGGTGCGTACATGTGCTCGAATAAAACCAACCAAGAGAAGAGCGAATAGTTGACAAGGTCAAAATATGAATGAATAGTAACTCTGGTGGAGAATGATTTAGTTAGTTTGTTAGAACTCCATAGAACAAGCCCTGTACACAATTATGATCTTATCATATTTTTAAAATGTCTGTAATCATATTTCAGTTGATAAAAGATGTTGAATATTCTCTGTACTCATTTGTTCAAAAAAACAATCAGTCATTTAAACACATAAAACTAGAGTTAAACAATTCGAAGTTGATTTATAATGAAAATTAACCATTTGTTGTAACCAACAGAACTGGTTGTTTATTGTACATTGATAAGCATTAGAATTCTCTAATCCACTGGTTATATTCGTCAAGTACTGATCGATAGATATGAAATTCATTTGTTTGATCCTTGACAAGATCTTCGTTGGTTACTAGTGACTAGTTTCATATTAAGATTTTCAACAGCGTTTTTACACATTTGAAATCATCAATCTATCATTGTTAGACCACCATTAGAAACTTGGAAACCAGTTTTCTAGAGGTTAGGGGTTCGAGCGCAAGACCGAATGTCCGGAGTTCGAATCCTGCGAGGTGCAAGAGTCGTAGGTGTGCACTGCTGATGTGTCCCATACCAGGACGAAACGTCTGTCCAATGCTTTCAGGTTTCTAATAGTGGTTGTCTAACAATGATTGATTGACAAATAGTCTGTGACAAACAGTAACTCACAAAGTTTTTCAACCATTCGTAAGAGATAGTTCTAATAATAACAAGAGCATGAGACTGAAAAAAACAATTTAACTAAAGAAAGTTTATGAAAAAAAAATAGCAAAGATACTTGAACATACTATCACTGTTGTAGTCTTTTCACCGCGATTATTCAATTCCTTGATCACGTGTTGTTTGCACATATCGATTCGTTTGCATAATTCAATAAATTTATCTTCAAATGGATATTTACCAGAAATATCAATATACAGCCGTGTACCAATCATAAAACCTAACCACCCATCTGGTACATAACCCCGTTGTACACGTAAAAATAGTAAAGGTTTTTTTTCATGATAAGCATACTGAGCTTCTGAAAGTATATTTTTTTTTAGGAAAAAAAAGTGTTAAATTTTAAAACAGGAAATAACATATGTGTGTAATGATGAGATGCTGTGAAAGTTAACTATGAACGTTACTGAAAGTATTTTCGAGTCATTAAAAATGAGTTTGTATCTTCGTTATTTCAACATGACGAATCCTGGGACCACTGAATAAGTAGTGGTGTTGTTACGAAAGGATATTAGATAAGGATGACAGATCAATAGATGAACTAGTGAAACTTCCTCGGTTGAGGTAGCTGAGACATGTGTTAAGTATGACCAAACACCGACTGCCTCTCCCGACCGTAGCTGCTACCTTGACATGGTGGTCGGGCTTGCCTATCGTGATGACCCAACTGTAATATATTGGCTGGAACATATATGTTTCTGAAGGTTCTACCATGCCAGGCAGACTAAACAAAAACATGGCAGAAATCCATGAAATCACTGACAAGTGGACTAAGTCATGTTGGTAGATGTAGGCTACCTGGTTGGGGTCTGCGAGATGATAGTAACCGATGGTTAGAGACCTTGAACGACATGGCTCAAAATCATTTAGCAATGGCGTAAGTGGATCGATTCTTTTTGTACTCTCAAATTCTAACGTTCTGAATTCCTCATTATCTATATCTTTCTCTTTCTAACTTTATCTCACTGAATTACACTTCTTGAATTATATCTTCGAACCCTTATCTCCTTCATTACTGCTAATACTTCTACTATCGCTACTACTGTTGGATTTGAACTGACAGTTGCGTCTCTGTGCTAATACGGTATGGCAATCTGAATTGATATGCGTAAGTACGAAGGTCTATGTTATATCTGTCTATCTGTCTGTCTGACTGCCTCAATGAACGATGTTGTCTTCTGTAGGGGCAGGCTGGAAGAAAGCTGGATGCGGCAAAGTCAAAACATGACAGAAATCCATGAAATCACTGACAAGTGAACTGAGACATGCTGGTAAGTGTCGACTACCTGGCTGGGTTCTACGAGACGATAGTTACCGATGATTAGATATTTTAAATGGCACAGATATATCAAATCTCTGAGTTTTCACAAATTCTAATCTCCTGAATACCTCATGAACACTAGCTTTTGAAAAATTTGTTGTATTGACTTATACATCTTGAATAATAACTTCAAACCCTAATCCCTCTCTGAATGATACTGATACTTCTACTACTTCTACTACTATGGGATTCGAATTAACAATTCAATCTCTGTATGCTTATGTGATATGGCAACTTGAACTGATGTACTTACGTACGTATGAAACTGTATGTTGTAACTGACTTGCTGACTGTCAAATTCATTTATTGATTTACATCAAAAATCGAGTTATACAAGACTGATGAAAACTATACATTCTATCGTAATAGACAACATTGTTCGATTGATCAGAGTTATGCATTTACACCTAACGGATTCCGACCCTCTTGTCCAAAAGTTAAGCGTTCGCGCTTAAGATTGAAACTGAATGGAACTCACCACTCTATATCAACTTCATTGACTACGAGAAAGTATTCGATAGCGTGGATAGGAAAACACTGTGGAGGCTTCTTCGAGACTACGGTGTGCCTGAGAAAATAGTTAATATCATACGGAGTTCTTATGGTGGATTCAACTGCAAAATCGTACATTCGAGGACAGCTAACAGACTCTTTCGAGGTGAAGACCGGTGTCAGGCAAGGTTGCTTAATCTCACCCTTTCTCTTTCTCATGCTCATCGACTGGATTATGAAGACGTCGACATCTGGAGGGAAGCAAGGTATCGAATGGACAAATAGGACGCAGCTGGACTTATCAGATGACCTGGCTCTTCTATCGCACACTCAACAACAAATGCAAGAGAAGACGACCAGTGTAGCAGCAGCCACTGCAGCAGTAAGTCTCAACATACATAAAGGAAAAAGCTAAATTCTCCGATGAAACACAACATGCACCAACCAAATCACGCTTGATGGAGATGCCCTGCAGGACGTTAACACCTTTACATATCTGGGCAGCAGCATCGACGAGAAAGGTGGATCCGATGCAGATGTGAGGGCGCGGATCGGCAAAGCAAGGGCTGTGTTTCTACAGTTGAAAATTATCTGGAACTCCAAACAACTTTCAAACAAAACCAAAATCAGGATTTTCAATACAAATGTCAAGACAGTTCTACTGTATGGAGCGGAAACTTGGAGAACTACGAAAGGCATCATCCAGAAGATACAAGTTCTTATTAACAGTTGTCTACGCAAAATACTTCGGATTCGTTGGCCCGACACCATCAGCAACAACCTAATGTGGGAGAGAACAAAGCTCTTTGTTCGAATCTTTCTTGTAGTAGCAGGAGTCGCCTATGCGTACTGCTGATCTGTCCTATGTCAGGACAACAGAGCCTTCTTCTATTGCTTCTAGATCTCTACTAGTAGTGCAACAATGATTCATTCATGATTTTAATGTCAAACAATGATCTGTATAATATTATGTTGAAAAATTTTATGTTTGGAAGGTTTTATTGTCAGTACTGACTATGATATCTATTCCATCTTTGAATCAGTTAACGTTTCATACTGGTTGAGAGGTTCTTGTTTGTTTTGTAGAAAGATGAATGTGAAAAAATGCTTGATATATTTAAACAATCTCAGCGAACAATCTTGAACCAAAAGTGTAGAACAGTTCAACAATTAGAATCGATCAAACATTCATATAGAATGCACGAAACTTCATTTTCTTCTGAATATTGAACCACTAAAAATGATAAGCCTTACTTCGAATTCAACACAAGCCACTTAAATATTATAGTTAAAAGTTCATTGTCCAAGAATCGTTTCTTTTTTCATAACGAAAAAAAACAGCAGTTCTAATTCCACTTACCACATTTCGCATTGAAACTTTCTTTATATGATTTTGAATAAAGAATACAAACTGCAAAAGAATTTTCCACAGCTTTTGCTATCCCATCCATTACATCAGTTTCATAGAGTAGATCTTGATAGTCAACCCATACCTAAGAAATATATATATATATATAAAATCATGAATCCATTAAAATTTAGACCACCATCAGAAACCTGAAAGTACTAAACGGCCGTTTCGTCCTGGTATGGGACTCATCAGCTGTGCGCATCCACGATTCCTGCTCCTCCCAGGACTTGAACTCAGGACCTTCGGTCTTGCGCGCGAACGCCTAACCTCTGGACCGCTGAGCCGGTGTCTGATGGAATTATTGTCTAACTTCGATTAAAACCGAAGGTCCAGGATTTGAATCCTGGAAGGAGCAAGAGTCGTGGATGCGCATAGCTGATGAGTCAAATACTAGGCTGAAACGACTTTCCAGTACTTCCGCGTTTCTAATAGTGGTCTTACGACTTCACACGTGTAACTTAACAATCTTCACAATCCCGTATTATATACGTAAGTAAAGAAGTAAATCTTTAGTAAAATAAGTTTAATTTTAATGCGTAAGAAGGTACGTGATATATATATGGTAAAGATTTGAGTTTTTGGATTCCCAATTAATCACTGAACTATCAGCGTATATTCACGTAACAGAATAAAATTAAAGAGAAAAGAATATTGTACATAAGAAATGATTCTTATAATGTTTCACAAGAAGTTTTCATACTGAGATGGTGGAAAAAATGTGTGTAGCTTGGGTGAATGATTGTGTGATGGAGTTGTGTTCTCTGAACTGGATGTTTTGGTTCTTCCACTGAACAGCATCATCTATCCGGAGTTTGTTTCGATGATGCTGTTGTTCACAAGAAGAAGAACAATGTAAGCTTTAAAGCAACAAACATTCGCCTTAATCATAGTTTGAAAAAACGTCAACACTATTAGACGAAAAATTTACTTGACTTTCAACTTTTCAAAACGACTTTTTTTGATGAATTAAAGGAAATTTATTATGTAACATTTTATTAAGAAATAAGTGAATTTATATTTGTTGAAATCTTTCAAAAAATACTTTCGAAAATAAAAACTTTAGACTAAGACTCGAATCCTATGCCAGAACGAAATGGCAGTTCAATGCTTGCCGGTTTCTAACGGTGGCCCAACGTTGATTAATTCATGATTTCAACAAAGTAACTCAACAATCTCCACAACCTCATAACGCAAGTTACATGTGCTCACTAGGGAATAGCTCCGTGAGGAATCTTCTTCGAGCCCTAGTAAGAAGGCATAATCAATGGAGTTCAACCTTGTTCAGGTGTGAAGCAGTGCTCACTGAAGACGATGGATGAGGTTACGCAAGACCGTGGGATTGATCGAAGTTACACATTAACACTGTTAGATACCGACTAAGTGGTCCATAGGTGAGGCGTTCGAGCACATGACCGAAGGTCCTCGGTTCGGATCCTGCCAGTAGAAGGAGTCGTGAATGTGCCCCACCATTGATGAGTCCCATACTGGTGCGAAATGGCAGTACAGTTTTTCAAGGTTTCTATTGGTAGTCTAACACTGATCGATTCGTGATTCCCAAAAGTAACTGTACTATCTCCATTACCCAATAATGAGATTAGGATCAGACTAAAACAAGTTCAGTAAAAACCTTAATATATCCAGGTTGAAAAATACTCAATTCAAATGTTATCATTTATATTTAAGGTGGATATCCATTCTGATAACCTCGTGTATATGAACCAAATGAAATGAACTAACTAACTTGTTACGTAACATCATGAATGAATATCCATTTGTTGTCTTTATTCTGAGTATACTCTCATAACTACTTATATTTTTGTTAGTAATATGATCCTAGAAGTATAAAAAACTGGAAATAATTACACTGTTATTCATGAACGTACCACAAAATTTGATTACGAGACACTTCAGCATATTATGCTAAATCACGTCGATATCTAGATGATAAGGAGTACAAAAGTATCATTCATTCACAAAGTACTCGGTGTACATTTGTAGTTGCAAGCTACTCTGACGGGAATTAATTACTTAATCACAAGGAAATGTAACTAAAGTAAATTATTCAACCTGGTGGTTGTTACTAGACGAATGATTTAATAGTTAATCCAGTGATCCAACATACAATTCGGCTGTTTTAAAATTATATGATAACACATTTTACGAGAGATAAAAATCTCTGATATAGTCTGTTGTTTTTGAACCTCATTACAAAACGGTTTACTCCGTATATAAAGTGTTGTAAAAAAAGTGAAGATTCCTTGATAAGAATATCACTTACTTACTTACTTACGCCTGTTACCAACAATGGAGCATAGATCGCCGAAAAGCACTCTAAAGCCTACTATGTCCTGGTTCTTACTTTATAGTTCTGTCCAACTGTTGTTCATTCTCCTCATGTTTGTCTCAAATTTCTCGGCATAATGTGTTCCTTGGCCTTACACTTTTCCGTCGGCATTGAAGATTCATTGTGAGGGTTTTTCTTGTGATGCAGTTGGGTGCTTTCCGCAGTGTGTGTGTCCTATCCACCAACAGCAGCACTTCTTCCTGATTCCCTACTACACTAGAATCTTGTTTATTCTCTCTCACAGTAGGTTGTTGTTAATGGTGTTTGAATAACAGAGTTGGGACTTCGGAGTAGGTTGATAATTGTTTTGAGTTCTAGATGTTGCTCAGTTGTAAAAATGCAGTCCTTGCTTTGCCTATCCTCTCCTTCACATCTTCATCAGATCCACCTTGCTCATCAATCATGATACCCAGATATGTGAAGGTCTTCACGTCCGCAGCAGGTCTCTATATCAACAGCGATTTTATTGGCTCATGTAGTGTTGTATCGGAGATTCTTTTACTCTTTTAGGCAGTTACTTTAACTTGGTTAAAAGAAACGAGTGACATTGTTGTACAAAACAAATTGTTCGTTTCTATGAATGAATGACAATAATTATATGACACAAAATATTCGCTTCGGTTTAGATTGTGAATTATCTACAACCAATAAGAATTTTCAATGTAGAACTTTCAAATCTAAACAGTGAAAATTTCACGTATATGATGACTACCAGTAGGATACAGGATATGTCTCTGTTTTGCTGTCATCAGTTAAATTCACCTGTATCCTAGTGCAGGTATTCACATTCGGAATCAAATTCAATAAATTTTGTCTAGAATATTAACTAATCAAAATTCTCACAGAACAGATAGAATGTGGTTAGCAGCAAAGTCCGAGGCATGTATTTTAGTCCAATACGGATATCGTCAACTCGATATACTCGCATTCCAGAGATGATATCTGCACCAGGACTTGAATCCAATATCGTTAGTTCCAGAAACAAACAAATTACCCAATTAGCTTTTCATTCTAGTTAGTCAAATTACCAACAACGTGGTGCATGTCGACCACAGGAGCATACGCTATTAAAAAGGGGAGGAGTGTTGGGGATGTTATATCCCCAAAACTCACTTGATAAATGCCTTATTTTGGTTTTCACGTTTGCCAGCATGGGCTGATCAGTTGACCTTGAGATTTCATTACCCACCAAGGGAAAATCCATGGCTGTGATTGGCTGCTGTGTATTTTAGTGTGCTATTTTCATAACTGTCCCAAAGACGTTTCTATGTTGTATAAATAAACGTGATTGCTGTGTGTTTGTAGAATATACTTTCTACGCTTACAAAGCCTTTTTACGCTGGTTCATTGTCTCGTTTATCGCGTTTATCGACTAAGGTCAACTCGTAATAGCCTCAAGCATACTTAGTGACGAACATAATAATTGAACATCTGTTTGATACAAACACTATCAACTGCCGAAATAAGTAATCATTCATCTTCAAATTAAAAAAAACCAACTCCACTTCATACTACTTAAAACAACAAACCAACAAAACTGATGAAAAACTTTACCTTATAACCTTTATTTTGTAATTGTTCAACTAAATACTTTGCAATATCTTTCTCATCATGACTATAGCTAATCAATACATGTGGAATGGTTTCCATGAAACCTATGTTACTTTCATTATGAATAAGCCAATCCATTGTTTCATCGATTTGATCATTTGATCGAGTTTCAATGTCAGTTGTTTTACAATGATGTTTATTGGAAATTCCATTGGGAAATGTAACATTTTTTGAATGTAATGTAATGTACTTTTTAATTAATTTCATTGTATTTATAAAATATAAACATGATAAATGAATAAACATGAAGAATTTGGTCATGTTGTTGTCATTGCTCTGTGTTCAATAGTTCAATGTCAATTAACATTCATTTGAAAAATTGAACTTCCGAACAAATACAGTGTACATAATAATTTCCTAATGGTTTTATACATACATAGATGGAGTATAATCAAATAGGCTAAATTTACATTCTGGTATGAATAATCAGAAGGTCTATATTTAGATTATGACTTTATTTAGATTGGGAGAATTAGTAGTCTTGAAATAGTTTATATCGTATATACAATTGAATAATAATAATAATAAGTACATTGAAATATCAGTGAATAATTAGGGTAATATTTAGAAGCTGTATGTAAAAATAGGGTAGGATGTGTAGTGTTTCGTCAAACTGAAAAATACTTAAAAAACGATCCCAGTTACGTAAATTCTGATGAAAATTCGTAACTACTTAATAAAGTATCAAGTAGTATTAGAATTATTTCGAAAACTTTCGGAAACCTCAATGTATAACTAGGCAAAATTAAAATATTGTAACAGTGCTGCTCACTAGTAACTAGCTTCGTGAGGAAATTCTCGGAGTTCTAGTTGAGAAGACGTGACTAATGGAGTTCAACCCTGTCGGGTGTAGGCAGTAACTACCAAAGACAAATGAGTGAGATCGCGCAAAATCCCTCGATCAATCAGAGTTAGACAGCAATACCCTTGATTGTCGACCCAGTGGTTCGATGGCTAGGCGTTCGCGCACAATACCGAAGGTCCCGGGTTCGAAACCCACGAGGGGCGGTAGTCGTGGATACGCACTGCTGTTGAGTCTCATACCAGGACGAAATGGCCGTCTAGTGTTGTCAGGTTTCTGACGGTGGTCTAACAACGGTTGTTTGGTGATTTCGAATGTGTAAAAACAAAAACCTCCAAACCTCTGCCCCAAGGAGCCATTTGTGAATAATCGTAACTTACATTGCGAATGTTAGAGGCAAATAAATCATAGCGATTTTATTTAGCTTGCGTAAAATAATGTAATCACTGTCGTTTTCTTGATCACATAATATTGATTTGTAAATAATAGGCATTTCCTTATCTAAACAGTTTTAGAACAAAACAGATTGATTCAGTCAGTCAGTCAGTAAGATGCAACGTAGAACTTCGTACGTAAGTACATCAGTTCATGTCGCCATATCACATCAGCACTGAGACGCCATTGTCAATTCAAATCCAATAGTAGAAGAGGTAGTAGAGGTATTAGAAGTAATCGGAGAGGTTAGGATCAGAACATATTATTCAAGAAGTATGATTTAATGAGAAAAGTTTAGAAAGTCAAAACTAGAGGTGTTGAAGAATCCAGAAGATTAGGATTTGAGAGAACACAAAGAATAAATGCACCGGCGCCATTGCGAACGATTTTGAGCCATGTCATTCAAGGTCTCTAACCATCGATTATTATCATCTCGCGGACCTCAACCAGGTAGTCGACAATTACCAACATGGCTAAGTCCATTTGTCAATGACTTCATGGATTTCTGCCATGTTTTGGTTTGGCCACCCCTAACTTTCTTCCAACCTACTCCTACACCACAAAACATAGCTCTTCGAGGCAGTCGGTGGTTAGGCATACGCAACACGTGTCCCAACCACCTCAACTAATGAAGTTTCACTACTTCATCTATTGATCTGGCATTCTTAACTAGCATCCGTTTCCTAACAACAGCATTGCTTACTCGGGAGTCCCACGATATACGAGCAATGCTTCGAAGACACCTATGATCGAAAACCAGTAACCTACGAATATCTTCTACTCTCATTGGCCATGTTTCACAGCCACAAAGTAGGACGGAGCGAACCACTGCACAGTACACTCGTCCTTTAGTCAGCAAACGGATATCTCGCCTACGCCATAAGTGACGCAGGTCGGCAAAAGAAAATCGAGCCTTCTGTATCCGAGCTGAGATTTCGTCAGTCACCAGGCCATCAGCACCGATGAGACTCCCAAGATTAGTGAGGTGGTCTACACTTTCGACTACTTCACTCCTTATCACTAGTTCAGGCGCCGATGAAACCCAGTCTTGAAGCAACATTTTGCATTTCGAGGGGGAAAACCGCATCCCGATTGATTAAAATAACATATCTAAGTGTAGAAAACGTGAAGAAAACCCAACTGCTTCACAGAACGAACCCCCACCTGGAACCCTCAATGTCAGAGGAATAGTGGAAGGTCAAGAATCAAATTACGCAGAGAAATGGAGACAGACTTGATAAGGATGAACAAACATTGGACAGAACTGGAAACGAAAGTAAAGGACATGGTAGGTTTGAGAATGCTTATTGGTGATCCATGCTGCATTATGGTAGCAAGCGTGAGTAAGTAAGTAAGCTACGTAAGATTCGAATTAGGGTTCATTACTTTAGTGACCCAAGATCTGACTCCAATGTTTATTAACAATTATATACTCTATGAAATAAATCTTACTCTCTGTGAGAAAAATATATTTCTAAAATAATTCAGACTACTGATTTTAATTTAATAGTATAATTGACACACTGAAATATTTAATGAAGATTTTTGAAGTCCAACTATTCATGATAAATATTGAATTCCTCAGCAGTGCTCATCCACGACTCCTGCACCACGCAGGATTCGTACCCAGGACCTTCGGTATTGTGCGCGGACGCCCTAACCGTTAGACCACTGAGCCAGTATCTAACGGTGTTAATGTCTAACTTGATCAAATTCACGGAGTTGCGCAACCTCATACACAGTTTTCGGTAAACACTGAATACACCCGAAAAGGTTGAACTTCACTGGTCACGTCTTCCCACTTGAACTCGGAGAAGATTCCTCACGAAGCTAGTCACTAGTGAGCACAGGTAATTTGCATTACGGGGTTATGAAGATTGTTAGGTTACCCATATTTTGGAGTCCCATACCAGGACGAAACGGCCGTCTTTCAGTGCTTCCAGGTTTCTAATGGTGGTCTAACATCGATCGATTCATGGTTTCAAAAAATGTGTAACTTAACAATCTTCAAAACCCCGTAATGCAAATATTGAACGGAAATAAATCCTCTTAATTAGTCTGCTTGTATTCATAACCAAATAATCTATTCTTAAAAAATTATCTGGGCGGTGACTTCAAATTTAATTTCATCAGGTTTTAAATAAAGATATTTTTAAAGTTTGATCATTTGAAAAGGAAATACATTAACATGTGTACCGTCATCAAAATGTACAACCCAATAAAAAGTTTCTACTAGGTTTCCTGATAATTTTATTTTCCAAAAATATATTAAACAGAAAAAATAATATAGTTATAAGTTTTGCAATCTATTTTAATTACAATACAGTACGAAAATGAATTTGTAGCCAAATTTAGATTTATAGAATAAGTTTATATAAAGTTTGCAACTTACCTACTTACTTACTTACTTACTCAATTACCTACTTATTTACTTACTTACTCACTTACTTACTTACTTATGCACTTATGCACTTATCCACTTACTTACTTACTTACTTACTTACTTACTTACTTACTTACTTACTTACTTACTTACTTACTTACTTACTTACTTACTTACTTACTTACTTACTTACTTACTTACTTACTTACTTACTTACTTACTTACTTACTTACTTACTTACTTACTTACTTACTTACTTACTTACTTACTTACTTACTTACTTACTTACTTACTTACTTACTTACTTACTTACTTACTTACTTACTTACTTACTTACTTACTTACTTACTTACTTACTTACTTACTTACTTACCTACTTACTTACTTACTTACTTACTTACTTACTTACTTACTTACTTACTTACTTACTTACTACTTACTTACTTACTTACTTACTTACTTACTTACTTACTTACTTACTTACTTACTTACTTACTTACTTACTTACTTACTTACTTACTTACTTACTTACTTACTTACTTACTTACTTACTTACTTACTTACTTACTTACTTACTTACTTACTTACTTACTTACTTACTTACTTACTTACTTACTTACTTACTCAATTACCTACTTACTTTACTTACTTACTCACTTACTTACTTACTTATGCACTTATGCACTTACTTCCTTACTTACTTACTTACTTACTTACTTACTTACTTACTTACTTACTTACTTACTTACTTACTTACTTACTTACTTACTTACTTACTTACTTACTTACTTACTTACTTACTTACTTACTTACTTACTTACTTACTTACTTACTTACTTACTTACTTACTTACTTACTTACTTACTTACTTACTTACTTACTTACTTACTTACTTACTTACTTACTTACTTACTTACTCAATTACCTACTTATTTACTTACTTACTCACTTACTTACTTACTTATGCACTTATGCACTTATGCACTTACTTACTTACTTACTTACTTACTTACTTACTTACTTACTTACTTACTTACTCACTTACTTACTTACTTACTTACTTACTTACTTACTTACTTACTTACTTACTTACTTACTTACTTACTTACTTACTTACTTACTTACTTACTTACTTACTTACTTACTTACTTACTTACTTACTTACTTACTTACTTACTTACTTACTTACTTACTTACTTACTTACTTACTTACTTACTTACTTACTTACTTACTTACTTACTTACTTACTTACTTACTTACTTACTTACTTACTTACTTACTTACTTACTTACTTACTTACTTACTTACTTACTTACTTACTTACTTACCTACTTACTTACTTACTTACTTACTTACTTACTTACTTACTTACTTACTTACTTACACACCTTACTTACTTACTTACTTACTTACTTACTTACTTACTTACTTACTTACTTACTTACTTACTTACTTACTTACTTACTTACTTACTTACTTACTTACTTACTTACTTACTTACTTACTTACTTACTTACTTACTTACTTACTTACTTACTTATTTACTTACTTACTTACTTACTTACTTACTTACTTACTTACTTACTTACTTACT